TGTGAGTGTGTGTGTGTGTGTGTGTGTGTGAGTGTGTGTGTGTGTGTGTGTGTGTGTGTGTGTGTGTGTGTGTGTGTGTGTATTCCATAAGCCACAAGACACGCTGGAGGTTGGCCTGGGAACACCTTGGAATCCTCCCAGAAGAGCTGGAAGAGGTGGCTGTGGAAAAAGATGTGTGGGCCTCCCCTGCTTAAGCTGCTGCCCCCGCGACCCGACTTCGGAACAAGGGGAAGAGAATGAACGAACAAACAAACGGAGTACCTGGGGAAAACCCACACATACATGGAGAAAACATGCAAACTCCATCCAGAAAGGCTCCTGGCTGGGATTTGATCCGGCAACCGTCTCGCTGAGAGGCAGCTGCTCTACCAACTGCACCATCATGCCACCTGAAATTGTTTCCTTTGAAGTCAAATTGCTATTACTTATTTATCCTCATCTTAGTGTTTTTTTAGTTCCACCTTACAAAAGTGAATAAAAATACTAATAACTACCGGTAATTCAATTAAACTTAACAAAACTGGAAAAAAACGAGAGATAAGACTTCAAAAGCTATATCAATAAAAGTTCAAATTTAATTATTGTATTTTGCTTCACTTTAGTACGGTATGTTATTTTAAGTTGGTCACTGGTTGAAATAGCCTTTAAAACTATATGTAGAAAAAGCTTTTTAGTCTAAAGATTCTATTACTTATCAATAATCACTTGGAATTTATCACCAACACAATCAACATCCTGCTGGTATAAAATGGTTGTTAAGTTTTACTGGGCTGTAAAACTCATAATTTAAGCTGACTTTATATTTGACAGTATTTGAAGCACAGGAAGAGACTCTGCCAAATATCCACATGGTCACATCTGCTTAAAATCACAGCAGTTTACTATTTAAATCTCTTATAGCAATCATTTTGAAATAATAATAGTGCTAAACTCTACCAACTGCAACACATCTGTTTCTAGTGCAACTCTGTTTAAGGTCTGTCTACACAGTCCTGCTGTACACAGTCCACCAGTGGGACCAAATATTTAACATTTGTGTCATTGACTAAACCACCAAGATTGTATATGACAAGGACAGTCTGTGGAACAGACACTAAAAGAAGAGAGTGGGATTAAAAGGTACCAGTTGCATCATTAGCTGAAAACTGGCAGTATGACAAATATGAAACCCAAAGAATATGGTCTATTTACAGCTTATGTTGGCATGTGCTCAATATCTGCATTTGTGCACAGTAACATCTAATCTGTTCATTTAGATTCTGCAGATTCTAGAAAAGGGGACGCAGTAAAATAAGCCTACTGCTGCTAATTCTGGTACTTTTTCTTAACCTGGTTCACTAGCTATCTCTCAGACCGGAGGTAATGTGTTCAACATAATGGTACTTCCTCAGGACATTATTACATGCAGTGTCCTCAGTGCGGACTGAACAAGGCAAAATGGCCTTCTCCTACTCCGCTCCTGTTTCCTGGAATATCTTGCAAAAAGATCTGAAGCTCTTGACCTTGACCTCTTTAAGTGACTTCAAACATCTGCTAAGTTCATGGCAAAAACCAATGCAGACATGTTCCTGTTTATAGTTTTCTACATCGCTTTACAACCTAGCTGTTTATGTTTCATTTTTAACACCATTTTATTTCACTTGTTATTCTCAATTTGTATGCATCCTTTATGATTGTGTACTGTTGTCGTTGTGTTTCATCCCGTGACTTTTTGAGGCTACAGATATTATTTTTACACGTGGTTGAGAGCTTTTTACAGGATAAAACGACTGATGTAAACATGTTCTCCCCTCAATGCACTTTAGAGCTGAAGCAGATAGTGACTGCAACTGATGCACAAAAATGAAAGCAAATAAACAAAACAAACCAACAAAAAGACAGGTGCTGCACATTATTAGTGAATCAGGGCTCTAGTCAAATATCTATTATAAATAAGTGACCAACTTAATGATTAACACAGGGAAGACATTAACATATTAACATATTGGAAGTGTAATGTATATTTATGGTATTAAAACAATAAAAACTGTGTCAATAGTGTATTTACATCTTTATTTCAGCTCTTTAATTCATGCAGCAGTGCTCAGTAACGTATTGTATATTGCACAAATGTAACTACAGCATTTTACCATTACTGTAGCAACATTTTCCAAATCTGCACTCCTTCAGATTCATGCCAAACTTCCAAAGGAGGAACACTTTTTTTCTTTCCAGGAGCCTCAGGGGTTTATGGTGTAATTTGTCTGCAAATATCTTTAAGAATACAGAGGCACATGGGGGAGCACGGTAGGCTAGCCTGTAAATGTCTGTGGGTTTTTTGCTCTGATGCTACAGTCACACAGCACTTCTCAGTTACACAGAAGATCCCCTACAGTCTGGCATAGACAAATCCCTTTACTCCAACTGAGTTAAAGCAGGACCGGCTTTTTCAACACAGTAATCCTTCAAGTATTCCATGTTTCCAGCAGAATCTTAATACAAACTACAAAGTATGACACACCCAAAAATATATATAATATATGAGTCCATTACTGCAACAATAAACCATTATATTGTAGCAATTAAAGAAAATAAAACCAATAAAATAACACTATGCAAGCATATGAGAATTGAAAAATGAACACCACTTCAACCCTCATTAAAACTCAAGCATATTTACAGATAATGATGAAGCATTATGCTATATTTCTTGTATTAATCAGACTTTATACTGTTTATAAGACATTCTGCAGCCAAACTAAACAAGCAAAAAAAAAAAAAAGGAACCAGCAATGAAGTTATTTAAAATTTAGGACTTTCTTTTTTTTAAACCAAAGTCATGAGTTGCTTTCATTATGTTTTATGTGTGACTAAAGATAGAGTTAATGAGATTTTAGGAAGGAAAAGGTTGCTGACCTTTTTTTTTAGGATGGTTGGGTTCCCTCACCTTTAACTCAGCATTCAGAGGTGATGCAGGCAGTGGAGCAGAACTAAAAACAAACATGAAACAGGAAAAAAAAAAAAAACAGCAGGACAGAGTTACTGGAAGTTAATGAGCATTTTCCACTGGTATGGAGTATTGGTCCCTCTAATTGCGGGCACCGTGATATTGTTGACTCGTGGAAATCCAGATGGCATGGGTGGTTACAACAGGGTGAGTAAATATGGAAATGCCAGAGTCAGAGGGCACTACAGGCAGGAGGCCAACCGAAAAACAAGCCACACTTGTGTTTTTCACTAATGCTGGCGAGGTCAGAAAATCAGTCTATAAGTGTAAAACAACAAACGTCTACAGAAGTTTGGGTTTTGCAAGTCAAATCAAGAAGGTTCATTACTCTTCGCCTATTTTTTTTTTTTATTAAAAGCATTGCTAATAAAAATTAAAAAAAATAATAATTTCACAAAAATTAATTACTTCATTTTGAAGTGTCTCCGTGCATGATTGTGCCTTTTACTAAGGAAGAAGATTTTCTGTCTCTCTATGAAGATAAAATACTGGAGCATCAAATAGTTTTAACAAAACTCCCGGTTTACCTTGGGAAGACAGAGAAGCCTTCAGCATCGTCCTTAACCCTCTGCAGGTCACTCTGACAAATCTCCAGCAAGACCACACATGGGGTAAACAACGAGCTGACTAAAACTGCCATCTGAGACAAAACATCAGGTCAGTAAGAGTCAAATCAAGGGACAACTTAGTGTAGGAGCTTAATGTTTATTCTTTAAAGACAGTACTCACATGGTTATCACACCCTGAGGAGAATGACCATGACCCAGCCATGGTGATGGTCAGGTCAAGATTGTCTAGAAGAAGTAACGATAGTCAAACATTTAGCTTCATAAAACCTCCACTTCATACAACCAGGTATATTTCAAGAATGAACATAAAAACATGTTATGCTAATGTAGCCCAGTTTGAACTGTGCTATATAATGCAAACTAAAGTATTAAACCAAGTTCATAGTTATATCATTTGAGTTTAAAAAATGATGTCTAAGTGATAAAAGTGGAATAAATATGAAATATAAAAAGCTCTTTTGTCATTTAAAAATATATAATTTTAAAAACAGTTTCTATTTGGTCAAGAAAATTTAGTTTAAGCAGACTAAAACAAGCTGTTGTCATTTTTTTTTACTATGTTCCTTGAAGGTCATATAAAAGTTTGTTTGAGGAATGGTGCCATGTGGCAGATTATAACCTACTCTTTGAGTTGTGCTGTGTCAGTCTTATTCAGTTTTGTTTTGTATTGGATTAAGCATTTTATTTTGCCCAGTCAAATGGGAGTGGACGGGATTAATGGTACGCTGCATGAAACGTGGGTCCTTGTGAAAACCAGACACGGCAGAGCACACAGTGACGCAGACGTGGGACAATAGCAGAGTAAATCTATGCATTACAACGGTTAATGCAGAGTTGCCGACTGTAACAGACTTTAAGAAGCATATGAAGGTGGACCAGGAGCTAATCTTTGGAGCTACTGGACGAGTTAGAAGTTCCCCATTTCCACCAATGAGGTTACTGCTGGAAAGGACCTCGGTGTTCGTGTGACATCGCCTGCCTACTTACCTTATTAAAGGGATCTCCACATCTACCTTTTCTGATCCAGTCACAAACTCTGAAGGATTTGTGAGTAAAAAACTAAACCAATGCACGTGCTTTTTATTTTATTTGCTCAGTGAGTGAATGAGCTAATTGTTTTTAGCTCCCGTGCACCCAAGCATCGATTCAGGCCTGCAACGGGTTATTTTAGGGTTGAGTTTGTAGTGGACTAGGCCTGATGTCAAAACTGACCATATGGGACTGAAACTGTCATTTCATTGATTTGAATCCAGAAATACAGGTTAACCCATCCTGAGACTTTCTTTCTTGAATTAATCAAGTGGAAAAAGACAATTCTCTATGATCATTACTATTTACAAATGTTTTGATAATCAAATTGTGTTAGTTCAAACAATGTTTACATGTTGAAGTGAACTACTCATTTTTAATTACTTAAACAGTAGTAATGATTCTTAATCCTCAATTCAAAGTGAAATCAAGTTAGAGTACGTTACAGAGTAATGATTCAATTTCTTGATCGTCTGCTTTGAAGTGAGCAAATTTGTAAGTGTGTCAAAGTTCGAGTTTCGGTCAACTGAAAGTTTACTGAAAAGAAATGTCATGTTTAACTTTTACAGCGAGATACTTGGTGAGTGGCTCCACGAAGTCTGGTTTTTTCATGATATCTTTCTGTCTGTTCTTAAACAATCTGAATCTTTTCCTTGACTTTTAATAACACCTTACATCACAAACCACACCTCTGCTTTGGTCCATCGACCAATCAAAAGGCTCTCAAATGAACCGGAAGTAGAGCTCTTTAAAATGTGGGCACTTCCTAGTTCAAGCAGAGTTTTTGGAATTCAGAATGCAGAGAGTTTGGGAGTTCCAGAATGCAGAACGCTGGCATTCAGGATGCTGCTGAATTAGAATCAAGCTGAACCAGAGACGATTTTGGGAATTATAACTTCTGTTTGGATAACCTCACACGACTCTCGAGGTCTTTAGCTGTTCTTACGGAGACGCTGAACAGTGGCTCGAAGTGGGACTTCACGCCGGAACTGATCTATCTTCAGAAAAGGTAAAAGTCGACCTTCACCAAAAGTGTACTGTTGGGACAAGCTGATTTCCGAAGGAGCGTGCATGTTCTGGTTAAAACAGACAAATTCCCTCACACATCTCTCTGTAGACAAACTTCACTTTCCATCTTTAAACTCTCCTATCTGCTAGCAAATTAATCCAGATGTTTTCAGAAATGTCTGTGGTGAAGCAACGGAAAATCATGGCCGTGTGGTTTTCCTGGTTGTAAAGCTGATTAATTATGTAGTTATTTTTCAATTCTTGCCAATTAATGTAAATGTGTGATGTGTTAAACTTGATTCTGTTAATAAATGACCCACTGTCGTGGTGAGTCAAAGATAATTAACGTCTCACGTCCACATTTTATTAAATTCACTGCACGTATGTTACACAGTCCAGAAAAATGAAAGAACCCGTTTTAACAGTATGAATATATCTCAGGATATGTAACACTACAAGTTTTATGTTTGAAAAGCCTTACTTTTTTTTATTATTTCAAAACATTGTTCTGTTTTATGTGTGAAGCAAATTAAATTCATAGTGGGTTAAACAAAGTGTAAAGTCATAATTTTCTGCTAAGTGGAGGCCATTAAATTAAATATAAACAGTAAGTTGTATCTCCTGTAAGCTGTTAGTACAGCTATCTTTAAAATAATGTTCCCAGGGCCTCGGCCAATGTACTACATTTCAATCTAACCTATTGGTTAACTCTTTAGCTAGGTTGTACGGGCGCTACACTAATATCATTAGGAACCTAAAAATCCTATACAAATATTGCCTTTATAACTTTTTAATGTGAAATTATTTACATATAATGGCAAGTTTTTAATGACTAGTTGATTTTCTAAATTTTATTATTCCTAATAAATTATATTTAGTTTGTTAGATTCTCCAATTTTTCAAGCTGGCACAGTAATATCCAGTAAGTGTTTATCAAGCAAACCAATCAAAATTGTAGCTTCTTATTAGTTGGAATCACTCAAAAGAAAACAAGGGGCGGGGACTTACCTGTATGGACCCAAAATAACACAAGTAGCGATTTACCAGACATGTAACTTGTCTTTTTTCTGATTTATGGCATATTTAACAGGTTTCTGTGTAGCTTCACGTATGAAAGAGTGATGCGTTGAACTTAGTTTCAATTAAATTATGCAAAGCATCGGCACAGATGGAAAATTTTGATTTTTATGCATAATATCTATGCAAACTAAGGGTTTTGCTGAGATTTTTTTGCATTGCGTTGTTCCAGAAAGTCGTAAAGTTTTACCTTCATTGCCACATTTCAAAGAAAAAGAACAGCTGGAGAAATCATACCACCAGAAACCTACCTTTGAAATACAGCACTGCTTGGAGTTCTGAGGTAGCTAGATCCACCACATATAGACCGTCAGTGCTTCCTATACAGAACCAGCTGTCATCTCTGCAGGGGCCACACAGACACATGTGGAAAACCAATGTAATAGGATTTCCCTTAAAAGCATTTTTTTCCATACCATTTGGGAAAAGACAATGAAACCACATACTAAAGAAAAACACTGAAATGACCCAGTGGACGGGCATACACATCAGACTAGTTTTTTTTTTCTTCAAAGTTTCCTTTGACTTCATGCAATCTTTACTACATAAAGCTCGGAAAATAAGAGTTGTGCCACGCAGAGCAGTGTCTCTTTCCACTTACAGCTTTACGCTTCATGCTGAGAATATAATGTGGACAATTACATTTTAGTGCATCATTACTTTCATGCTGACTGTCTGTTTCTGTACAGAATGGGCCAATTAAGGCCATTATGTCTCAATTTTTACCATTTTAATGTGATAATTGCATCACTCAAATTATCCCAAAGATATAAGTTTTTATTTGTGGAAAAATTAAATCAAATTCATCCCAGCAGAGCCATTTAAAAGCTAAAAATTCAAAGGAAAAAAAATAGGTCAACTTAAATGATGCTAGTAACTTAAACAAATGATTATAATGTTTTAAATTTTAGCCAAGTCCAAATGAGGTTGTTAAAAAAAGAGCATTTTGTACAGTTTGAAGTAATTAACACAGTCAGCTGAATATTTCATAAATAGAAACCTGAATAAAAAACGATATTTGTTTAAGGGAAATCAAATGTCAGTAATTTAGGAGCTGAACGGTGCCATGTTACAGATAAACTGGCCTTAAATCATAAAATCAATAAAGGATCAGTTTCCATTAAGACTAAACATGATGAAAGTATCACTATAGGATCACGATTTTCCAAGAGAATCAACTAATTGATACACATTTAATTTTTATCGTCAACAACATTTAAACGGAGTAAAAGTTTCTGCTTCCTGGCATGAAAACAATATTATTATTGTATAGGGCTGAAGCTTCCTGTGATGTTTTCATAATGTAAGCATGAGCTGCAATTAACCCCTGATGATCTGGCATTTATGTTAGCCATTTTTCTAGACTTTTGTAACAATAAAGTCAGAATATTAATGGCAGAAATAAACAATTATTTCTTACTTTTTGACATAACAGTACAAATATATTTGATGTTGAAATATTTTCCTGGATCAAATACAAGTTGTACAAATTGAAAAGAACTGAACACTTGAAAAGGGTACATTTTCATACTTTGCTTTAAAGTTATGATTTAACGTCACAAATACAATAAATCAGTTCTTTCTTGACCTAAAGTCAAACAGGTACAGGAGAGAAAATGAGTTGCTCATATTTGACTAGTTAAAGGTGCTCACATAATAATATGAGAAATGCTTATGTCTACTCTTCAAATGATCTTATGAAGGCAATAAGCCCATGATCCCTTCAATATTAGGTTAGAACATCTGCAGCTTTAGTATGTTTACTTACATTTTTTGGTCAGTACTGATGCCTGTAAATGGGCCACATAAAGCCATTGAAATTACAGGTTTTGATACCTCCACTTTTTCTGCAGCTGATTGCTCCTCAGCCACTGGAGAGAAAAAAACAACCCAAAGCACTGTAAACTGAAATGGTTTATCAAAATCCCCATTCCAACCAGTAGATGACAGCATTACCTGCATAGCTGCTCAATATCTTTTGGCGTCCTTGATGCCTTCTTTCCATCTTCAGCAGATCCATTTTTTTCACCAGGTGGCACTTAATGCCATCGCCAAGAGAAAAGCACCAAACCTAAAACAGCCGTGTGCCCTGAAGCTTTTTGAGATGAACACAAATCTTTGATTTTGAGTTTTTCCAGGTCATGTGTCTCAGTCACTAACCTGTCCATCTGCTGAACCAGTAATTAGGTGTCCGTCCTTCTCCAAAAACAACACACTCAGCAGTGGAGATGCTGAAGAATCAAGTAATTCAATATTTTTAACAAGTCAATGCTTTGATTTCCCCACAGCTACGTATATGGAACACAATACAAATTTAAATAGATCCCCGTAAATTTACAGCATGTCAACCAGGAGGGTCCAGGTCTGGATTGAACACCCTCAAATAAATAACTCGTGCTTTGATAAGACACACTTGCTTTCTGCAATGATATTTAAAACATTAATTTCTTACCTGAAAGCACAAACGACTGGTAAAAAACCGCTTCAGTTTTTAAATCCCAAACCTGAAAATAAATCAGATAAGGAGCTACTTGGATACAATTTATGTATATTTTTAAGTAAACAAATGGCATCCATGCATCCTAACCTTAAATGTGCGATCCTCTGAGGTGCTGACAAGAATATTTCTGTTCCAGGGACAGAACTCTGCTGATGTTAAAGGTCCCAGGTGGCCGGTCAATGTACAAATCACCTCCTGTCTCTGATGTAGAAAAAAAAAAAAAATCATTTGAAAGAATGCAAATGAGCTAGACAAGAGTGCAATGTTTCAGTTATTTTATTAAATTATTATAGTTATTATACAAAGACATCTGCTGAGTTGTACTACAGTGAATCAGAAATCAAAGGACTAACCACATAATGATTGCGCTTATTTGTGCACTTTTCAGCTTCTGAAAAGTGTATGAGGAAATACTTAAAACTTGGTTTCTACAAACCACCCCGTACCGTAGTGGTGAGAATATATATGTTTGACCCCGAGCAGGCAGCCACTCGTTCATCAGAGACACAGAAGGTGAGATGAACAATGTCACCCAGCAAAGCCCCAATAACTACTCCAGTTGCAACTTCACCTGCAAACAAAACCATCAGTCTTTTAAAACCATACACATACGAACAAAGCAGTTTGGTACATTGTGTTGTAGTATTTAACTACATGACAGACTTGTGAAGCTTTACAAGGTTTTAAAGTATTAAAGCTGTTCTATGACATTACAAATTAAGGCTTTATAATGACAGTTTAAAAAAAAGTTAATTTCAGACAACTATAAGTGCAGTATGGTTCATTTGACTTCTATGCACAACAAATGTAAGTCTTAACGGTAGGCTACTGCAATAACACACTCTTGTGTGCACACAAAGAATTGTACCTACCCTCTTGTATTTTCCTCTGGCATGTTTCAATATCCCACACAATGATGTAATCTGCAGAAGCAGAGCAGAGCAGAACAGGTCTGCTTCTTTTCCCAAAGGTCATGGCACTGATGTCACCATGGTGACCTGTTAGCGGCAGTGGCTGAGAAAAATAGACAACTTCAAACTACTTTTCTTTGGTATGTCAGTGTATAACCACATGTGCTAAAAAAAGGGATATTTATTTATAGTCTATGTTAAACATGAAAGACAAAAGTTTTCTCTGTTCACATTAAACAGTAACAAACCTTTTGTTGTGAGCCCACACTGTAAATAAGCACTTCCTTGCCATTGAAGGGTATTCCGCAATATGAGTGACAGCATGCTAGCTGCTGATGTGATAAAAGTCTATCACAAGTCAAACTGAGCTTTTGAGTTATCATTTCTGTGCAGTTAGATTGATATTGGGTTAATTGGAATGTATAATGCAACTAAAAACAATTTAAAAATGAAAGGTTGAAAGGCCGCCGAAGATCTGTAAATGTTACGGGTTGCGGTTGCTAGGATACAAACACTACTTCCGCTTCATACAAAGATCGTCTATAAGCTAGGACGATGCTTTCACTGTCAGATAAATGTAGGCTGTCACCTGAATTGTTTTTGTTTTAACATGTTCCTGACTTTATTGATAACCCCCTTTGCTTAATAGGAGCCGTACAACATTTTTTTTTTACATAAATGGCCCATTAAGCATCTACTATGTAGATTACATTACTCCTGGTGTAGTTCAAAATTATCCTCATTTCACCACAAGATGGCAGCCAAGTTACACGTATGTTTTGGCAAGTCACAGATTATTTTCGACTATTATCTATTTGACAGGTCACGTATAGTATCCACGTAGGCACAGAACAATGTTGCCATTTTTCATTGGAATTATTTTTATTTGTTGTTGCGACTGCTGCATTAAAAAATGTGATTTTTGTTTGTTTGTTTTATAAAGCATCAATAACCTTTTTGGTTTGTCATTTTGGTGTAAATTAAAAGCTCATTCCACAAACAAAAGTCTTGCGAGGACACACGTTCCTAAGCAGATCATCCTGTTCGAATGGCTAACGACGTTAAGCTTGAAATACGGGGCATTCCTGGGATTTGTAGTTTTTGCTGAGGCTGGCGGATATGACGTATGTGTTGGGTAACTCGTAGTTGGGTGTCGTCGTCAGCCAGCTCTGCGGTAGTTGGATGAATCAGTTTGACGTTGACAGTCCTTGGGAAATGACAGTGCTTTTGTAGTGAGGGGCTAACTTTAGCTAAACCCTTAGCATGATGTCAGGCGTTTAGAAAGACGTTGACGAAAGAGAGGGATTTCAGTACCAAGGGATTATATTTGTTTCTACAAAGTTGTTTGTGTTAGCCTTATGTATTTCTTACGGTTACGTTGATATTTTTGTGTTTTTTTCGGCATAGTGTGCTAATTTAACTTAAGCTAAATGGCTAGCTAGCGTGTCATCAACTTGTGAATCTCCCACAGGGAAAATACCTATTGGGAGCTGATATCCAGTCATTGTAGCCAGCTAGCACGAGAACAGGCACCGAGAGCCCGAGCAAGTAAAGAAAAAGTGCTAGCATAGGGGAGCTAGCCACTTTGGAATTTGTAATATGAAAAACGCGCAGTCCGACACTTTAGGTTTTGTTCCTCAAAAAGACATCGTATACAACAAACTTTTGCCGTATGCGGATAGGCTAGACGACGAATCCAATGAAATCTTGAGCAAAATAAAAGGAAACTTGAGCCGAGCTGTTCAGCTTAGAGAAATATGGCCCGGCGTTCTGTTTTGGACGAGGAAACTTTCAACGTAAGTACCGCTATTTGTTGTGTTTTATGGCGTAACTGTAAACGGTTTTTTTTTTTGTTTTTTTTCTGGTTTTGTTTACATGTTCTGCCTCGATTCTCTCAGTTATTTGTGTTACAGTAATTTACTATAGCTGATAGCTTGGTTGTTATAAGATTGCTCAGTGGTCGATCAACCAAACTCTTTATTTTGTGATAAACATTGGTAGCATTGTGTGCTTTTAAGATCACATAGTTAAATCCCAGAAAAGTGTACTTTGGTTTGTTTGTCTGATTAGGTTGCTTTCAGGTTTCATAATGAGTGCTGTGGATTATAGGCACACTATGACCCAGACACCACAGACAGAAGGTCGTTTCCGCTTTGCCTTAGTGCTCTACATACGGTATACCCATTTAGAATTATAAAATGTGTATTACAATTGCAACATATTGAATTTAAAATAATGATTTCATCAGTTTGTTTTAAATTTGCCCCATGTGTTTAGGGTAATCTATTGCAGCAGTCTTTCCTAATTCAGTGTGGTGATTGTGACATTTTGTTTTTAGACCTGACTTTAACTTCATTACAAGTTGAAAGTGAGCCAGTTCCTCACACCACAACTGTTGCTATCTTACAACAAATTGGGGTCCATTGATTTGTTTAGCTGTTTCGTCATTCAGTTTGTTTTTTAGTGAAGATACATTACATACAAATGCATATTTCAGGATGACAGCTGAATAATTTAAATGCGCTGTGTTTCTTTTTATCTGTGTATATTGCCCGACGTTTAAATCCGTTTCAGTTCTTAGTGCTGGCTCATTGTTTTGTCAGGTGACTTGCTGCTTGCTCAGGGAGATGGAAAGTTTGCTGTTTGGGTGACCCAGATACTCTGTTGTAGTGTTTTGGCTTTGTATCAGAGGGATTTTGTTTGTGATGTTAGTTTTGTATAGGGGTGCACCGATAAATCAGCCCCGATTTTCTTAATTTTGGGAAATCGAAAATCGTCCGATACTTGCATGAGAAACCGATTTCACAGTTTGTTTTAGTTTTAACAATTGTCTAAACTTCATTTATATTTCAGAGCACTACCTCATGGCCAGTTAAAACAAGTCTGTACTGTTTCTAGGATATTGTTCAAGGGCATTTCTTAAAATAAAATAATATTGGAAAATTGAAGGTGCATTGTGGCCTTATAACACCTGACAGTGTCGCTTATAAAACAAAATCGGAATCGTCAGGTCAGACTTTTTAGAAATCAGTGATCAGCCAGAAAACTGCAATCGGTGCACCCCTAGTTTTGTAACATGGAGAGGTGTTTTTATTTTTTTATAACAAATGGTTGTGCAGTTTTGTATGCCTAAATCTGTACTTCTAACTAAGGTACATGAGACTGTATGGACGAAAGTTCAGCAAAGAAGACCATGTGCTGTTTATCAAGTTGCTCTACGAGCTAGTGACCATCCCCAAACTGGAGATCAGCATGATGCAAGGCCTAGCTCGCCTACTTATCAACCTCCTCAAGTGAGAACGTGCCCCCATTTTTTAATTTTTAATTTCTTTTATAACTACACCAACGAAAATAAATACTGTTGTGATGTAAACTTTGAAGCTTTATGATGAGTTATCTTTTAACTTTTGTTGATGTCTGTATTAATGTTTTATTTATCTTAAAGGAAAAGAGAACTACTGTCGAGGGAGGACCTTGAGTTGCCATGGAGACCACTGTATGAGCTGCATGACAGAGTTCTCTTCTCAAAAACTGAGCATCTGGGCCTCAACTGGTTTCCCAAGTACGCCTCAGTTTCATACTTGTACTGTCCATATGATGTTATTTTAAACTGTCCTCAATCCTAGGCATGGACAATATCAATTTTGAAAAAGTATGTTAATAATTTTTCGAATTAGACAAACTAGATGATACAAATAAGAGTATAAACTATGTCAATATTGTTAAATTATCCTTTAAAAAAACAGTTTATTTTATTAAGCTGCGTCGTAATGGTTTTTTCTTGGTAACTTGGATTCATTTTAAAAACTTTGCGTTCTTTTTTTCTGTAAAACTGGTAGAAATAAACCTTGATAGGTTTCAAAATAAACATGACATCGGTCAGAATTACCTGTTCCGTGTTCAGTGATTCATCTTTAACCTGCAAGCACACAAACCTTTCTGTTTGACCCTGTCACAGAAAAGATCACATTCAGCTCGTTGCACGGTTGTGGCGGGTGCTGCACATCAGAACAAAGGTTGTTTTTGATGGATATTTTCAGATGTAAAGATTTTGAAATTACCGTACCGTTGCTGTCTTTAAAATTGTGTTTTGAAAATTTTGTGAGATAACTTAAAAACGATAGTCTTTGCTGCTTAGTAACAGTTTTGTATTGAAGGCTTGAATTTCAGTCACTATTTCATACTTAAGCTTCCCAATGACAGTGATGGAAACTATAAAAGAGTTTATTTTTTTTTATGATTAGGCAATATGATAATACTCTAGGCTGGGAGAGATGAAAGTAGGTTGAAATAAATTGATTGGAAAGGCTAAGTTGAATGCAGACACTTATACCGGTACATTTAAAAAAATTATATTGTGATATATGTCATACATGGCTATTCAGACAACTATTAAGAGTTTGGTGTATTCGTTAAAATTAATTAACCTTAATGCTTGCTATTTACAAGTAATTATATGTAAGTTGTATGATGGGTGGATGATTGTAACATTAGGCAAATTACATTAGTATATGAACAAAACAAAGGAAGCCTTACCAATGTTACTGATGTGTTGTCTGTTGGTCCCTTTTCCTGTTCCAGGAACTGTTAACATGCACACATGCTTCCTAAGTAATGTTAAGTTCCCTTAAAGTGCAATAGTTTTCCCTTTTTTAATTTGTTACTTGGCTATTCGTAGCAGTTTCTAGGTGTACATCTCCACATCAAAGTTTTTCCAGTGTTTGTGTTGAAATGTGTAGTCTTCCCAGGTTTTAAATGATGTTTTCCCTTCTTGTTAAAGGCAGCGCTCGTTAGCTGATCTTTCAATATGGCTCTCTGATGTGGTCAAACAGAACATCTAAACACAAATGTGTTCATTTCTTACTATTTTGTCGTCAATTATTAAACACACACAGCTGTAAACTGCTCGTTCACCTATATGTATGTGTTGGCACTAGTTTAGGTAAATGTGTTTATTCATCGCAATTTATCATTTATTAACCAACCCTTTATTTTTACCTTGGATCACATTTACATTATTAGCTTTGGTAGTTGTATTAAAACATTACTTTGCTTTATTGGGCCGTTTAAAAACGAGCAGGTGGGCTGTGTTTAACCTCACATTAACCCTTCATAACCGGAGAACGATAACCACTGTGAACTGGACAGCTAGCTTGATTTTTGGAAGAAACTTTAGTTTTGGTTCTACAAAAGTTTGGCAAGCAGTGCGTGGTGCTCTTTTATGGTGCTATGGAAACATTGTATGTTTATCATAAACTGACATGAAGGCAAGCTGCTTTTGCTGATTGCCTGCTCATTTATTTCACAATGACAAAATACTACTAACGTACACAAAATAAATCATTGATAGCATAACTGTGCGAGACGATGCACAGCATGTTTTTAGTTTGAGATATTGGCTCTTTGTTGTGTGCTGAAAGTGTTCTTTGTCTCTCTTTACATTCAGTTCTCCACGGCCTCGTTCCTCTTCTAAACTCATTATGTTAAAATTGGTTCAGAGGTGGTAAGGACAGCACTTTGTTTTATTTTGAAATTCTGCCCTAAAGTCACCTGGATGCTTTTTTTTGTATACTTTGCATGTACAACCAAGAAAAACTGGACACCCCATATGTAGTTTGAAACAAAACAAAAATGATGATGTCATCAATGTTAACATTTGACTCATATTGGAGACCGTCGCACTGCAGCTAAAAGATTGTTTTAAATGTTCTATACTTGAGCGCAACTATCAGAAACTGTAGATTCTTCTATATTTTTAGGATATTTTATGTTATATTTCCAACTTTTTTCAGTTAAACTGGATTATGGGGCACCAGTGCTGCAATAAAAGGCTGATTACTAAGAATTAATACTTGCTTTTTATGACACATTGGCTATCATTAATTGTGCTTTAACAGTATAAGTAGTGTGATTAAATGAACACATTATGATAACAGGGTTTTGTTGATCATTTGCCCTGCTAGCTTGTTGTTAAGTTTGCTTTCCGTGCTTTACTTAATAAAAATGTTAGGAGCTATAAAAGAGCCCAGGTCCTTGTCAGATTTCCTCCCATCTTTTTTGAAAGTAGGTCAGAAAATGTAGGCCACTTGAATTTTCAAACGTTCGTCAAACATTGTAGTTTGTATTTACACTTGTTCCAACTATTTCTCAAGAGTGGATGTGCATGTGTTTCTATTGGCTGTATGTTACTGGCTTGTACTGGGTAAACCCAAGTATTTTGATAGAATTGCTTGTAGAGAATCACCCATACTTTACTAATTATGTAAGTATTATCTTTAGTTATACGTCTAGTATTGGATTCTAACTATCGTAAAAAGAAGTAATCACATTTTCAGTAGTGACAGCTGGATTTACTGGTCCCAGATTTATTTTTTTTACTATTTCGATACCAAAGTTCTCCATCTTCAGTCAGTTTGTGTAGATATTTGTTGAATAAAAAGTATTGTTTCCCCAAACTAAAACCACCTAAGATATATTATGTACTGACTATCGGTATCATTTTTTGTTTACACTTAATCAGTATGCAACAATCTTTTGTTACGGTGCTCTAGTTAGGCATGTAAAATAATTTCCATACTGTATGCATGCATAAAAGTCAAGTAAAGTGTGATGATGGCTGTTTTACTAACATCAATGTTTGACTAGTAGGTTTCTAAAGTTTCTTATTTTGCTTCATTCTAGCTCAGTGGAAAATGTGCTGAAAACACTTGTGAAAAGCTGCAGACCGTGAGTAAATCTTTCAGTACTTATCAATAAATGCCTCATTTCAAATTGGCCAGATCTTACTAATATAATGCAAATATATGTTAATTGTCTGTGCTGAAAGTGAATGTTATTGTGTATTAATTTAAATGCATTACTTCTACTGATATTTTATATTTTTGGCAAATTTTACTGCACTTATATTATTGTGAACACGACTGTATTGAAAAATAGCAATTGCACAATTTGCTTTAATAGTCACTTATTTGTTAGTGAAGTGTTCTAAAATTAGATTTAACTTAAATACTTGACAGACAGAAATCTTTGCCGTCACCTGCAGATCTCGGTAACTGTTGTCCCGAGTTGTGTGCAAGTCATTATCTCGGTCAAGCACTAGGACTCGTACTTGAGTTTGCTCCTACAGTAGTCAGATAATCCTATTACCTCATCTAATTCTGTCTACTGCGAGAGTTTCTTGTATCTGTGACAAGAGATAGTGATTTGTTGTGAGGTGCTGCTCAGATCCTGTGAATCAGCAGTGAGGAAGCACAAGAAGCTGCACTTTAACTGTTTTTTAAGGTCTTTAGCAGATGGGATATCAAAACAAAGCTTGGGAGATCTTGTGAAATATGTGGTTTACCCAATCATGCAATGAACCATGAAAATGTACCAGTAGATCTAAAGGAACCACAAGGATTTACAATAATGTCTAAAAGTGAGCAAAGTGTGTGAGAAGTTACACTCCAGCACTGACATGCTAGTAGTCGCTGCTTTATTTGGACGCCAGTGTCCTGTTTATCTTGTTAACAGAATCTGAAGACAAACAAATCAGCAATCAACAATGCAGTTGAGGAAAGGAGGGTAGGGTGTCACTATGTCTTGTTGTCCCTAATGTCGCCTTACCCTCATAATATTTGTCTTCACAAAGTCCTTAAAGTTGACGATCTTTACAACGTTTCAGTGGATGGTGCAACTTTACATGTTTGCACTTCGTATTCATTGTGAATAATGTTGTTTTACCATCATGAGCCATTAGCATATTTTATTTATTTATTTATTTATTTAACTGAAACATTCTAATTGTTTTTCTCTGTGCAGATACTTTTCAGAGGCCGTTACGCAGGAGATGTTGGATGAGTGGAGACCACTCCTTTGTCCCTTTGATGTCACCATGCAGAGAGCAATCAGCTACTTTGAGCTTTTTTTACCCACAACTCTGCCTCCTGAGCTGCATCACAAGGGCTTTAAGTGAGAAACTTCCCACTCTCCTCTGTGTAGACGAGATCTGAAATATTATTTTGTGTGAAGCCACTTTAGTCTACCAGCTCAAAGATGCTGTAAGGAATAGCTTGTTTTCTGAAGGGAAAAGAAGTGATGAGTTGGCTGTGGAAGTAAATCTTCCAATTACAAAGGTAGTGACTTTTCGTTCAGTGATTCAGATTATAATAAAGTAAAAAAAAAATATTACAATATAATTTAGACATGTAGCGAGTGATTTCTCCAGGCTTCTTGATACTGGCTGTCTTTTTTTCTTTCCCAAGATTTTATACACAAATGTAATGCCTCTATAATATATAAAATTGTCTAAATAACCTGTAATGCTAACTGTTTAATATTATCTAAAATCGTTCTTATTTTACTGAATGACGTTTTGTTTTGTTTTCACCTGCAACATGCATGCTTTGTACATATGAGAGAAAGTGTCTTTATTTTTTGCCACCTTTTTGTCTGACAGGCTGTGGTTTGATGAGCTGATCAACTTGTGGGTGTCTGTGCAAAATCTCCCAAGTTGGGAAGTTGTGAGTAGATTTGGGTAAAGTCTACAGTAATGGATATTTCTGCTTTCCTTTTCTAACATGTTTTTCTGCACATTTACAGCACCTGGTTAACCTTTTTGCTCGCTTGGCCAATGACAATATCGGCTACATTGATTGGGACCCCTATATTCCGAAGGTTTGTTGTCCTCTTTTTCTGCAGCCTGTTGTGCAATCAAGGACTTGTTTGTTTTTTAAGATTGCAGCAGATGCTCTCGTGTGTTTTTATGGTTTGTGTTTCATTACTTTTGCTGGCAGGCAGAGAAACAAACTATCAAGTTTCTTTTTTGAACTTGCCCCCTCTTTTCGAGGGGAAGCGACTTGCATCACGCTTGTTTCCTCAGTGATGTGTGTCACTAATAAACACAAACATACCTGACCTGTTGTTGATATTTACACTGCATTAAGTCCACATCAGACTAATTGATAAACTTTTTTTTTACATCACAGATTTTCACCAGAATCTTGAGAAGTTTGAATCTTCCTGTAGGAACCGGTCAGATGATGGTACCACGATACGTTACCAACGCCTACGACATCAGCCATGTAGTGCTTTGGGTGTCATCCCTCCTGGTTAGATACTGATCATAACTTTATATTGACTGTATTTACTTCGCTGAATGATCTCGGTGACTGTAACTTTGTGACTTTCAGGGAGGACCCAGCAAGCAGACTCAAGCACAGCTCAGTGGCCTTTTCAACAGTATCACATCCTTCTTCCATCCATCTAATCATGGCCGGTGGTTGGTGAGTCATTTCTTGCTACTGTTTATCTAATGACACCATAATGACTTTATCATCTTTAATGAGGCTTACCATTAAAATTTACTCATGTAGCAAGAATAAAAAACATCTAGAAGCATCAGATGTTTGTCGTTCTTTAATATGGTAACTTAATGGTCATATTCTACTAACTATGCCTCAAGAGACAACAGTTTCGAAGTTACAGTGTACACGTGATATCTGAGCTAAAGTTACCTGTCTCCAAAAATGAATTAATAAAAAGTGAAACGGTTGTCGAGTTGTTAATAATAATCCAATTATTACATTTTGACTCAGTATTTGTTTTTGCTTTTGCCTTTTTTTGCTTAAAGATATTGATTTTCCAGTTTGCACGTGCCTTGACATAGCTCAAAACGTCCACAGTGATTGAGCACAATATGTGTGTCATCATTCTAGGAAAGCTTCAATGTCTTGTTGGCCATCTAGATTTACATTGATGGACGGTTCAGAAATAACAGCAGGACATGTGAGTGAGATGGCTGCAAAGCTATTAAAGGTCACTGGCACCACGGTCACATACCGTTCTGTTTTGGGAATCTTCCTGCGTTAGTTATTGAGCAGCACAGGCAGTAAAGTGCTGTTGAAAGATTTTTCTAGCTAGCTATAAAGCTACTGACGTAGCGTTCGGCTTCTCTCGCGCACCCTCCCTGGTCGTAAACTGCTGCCGCTAGCATACAGGCGCACAACACAGACATGTGTCCGTCTCGAGGCATGAGTTTCCTGCCAAGGCAAATGACCTAGAGGAAACACTGTCATGGGTTTGAGACTGAGTCTCTGTCTAGGTTTTCACTGAAGGAAAAGCGTAACTCACATTTGACTACAAATATTTGCTTGGGGGAACTTCAGATGTGTCTTGTGATTTGTATTTATTTATTATTTTTACTGTAAAGTGTTTATTATCGTACAAAAAATACAAAGAAACTGGATAAAACTATGTTCACAGTGAATTGGTTTTTGTTTTTTTTGTCTGTTACCTGTGTCTCTAGATGCTCCATACAGTCTACCTCTCCATTTGTACATGAAAGCATACTGTCTACCTCTGTCTCCCCTTTGTCATGTATCGTTTGTATCCTCTTGTCTTCGTGTTTAGATGAAGCTCATGAAGCTGCTTCAGCGTCTCCCAGCCAGCGTGGTCCGGCGGTTGCATCGAGAGCGCTACAGAAAGCCATCCTGGCTAACGCCAATTCCAGACAGTCACAAGCTCACAGAGGAGGATATCACAGACTTCGTACAAAGCATGATGCAGCCGGTTCTGTTGGCCATGTTCAGCAAGACGGGAAGTCTCGATGCAGCCCAGGCTCTGCAAAACCTCGCTTTGATGCGACCAGAATTGGTCATTCCCCCTGTGCTTGAGAAGTAAGTTTGGACTGCACTTAATGTAGTATCTCACTTGGCTGTAACTGCTGGGAACTAGTTGGTGAAAAGCAGAGTGTCTCATAGGACACAAAACTGCCCGATTTGAGTAAAACATGGGCAGAGACATACTGGACACGACCTAATACAGCACAGCAATCCATTCACACTCAAATAGTTGTGATTTTCACATATTACACAACTTTCTGGTCACTTGGTCATGGATATTTCAAATTTTTGAGCCTGAAAATTAGTACCGGTATGTTTTTGTGCAGTACTGAGTCAAGTTTGAGTCACTCTTTAAACAGTTGCAGCCCAATGAGATACTTTTATGGTTAGCAGATTTTTTTTTTTTAACCTAAACTTTCTTGGCATTGTCAAAACACCGTTTAGTTTACCGTGTTTGATTTTTAAAGGTTAAGGCCACCATTTGAAAACAAAGGAATAATTGTTAACTCTACCTCTTGTAGAACATATCCTGCCCTGGAGACCCTAACAGAACCCCACCAGCTGACGGCCACTCTGAGCTGTATGATCGGTGTAGCGCGTAGCTTGGTATCAGGTGGGCAGCACTATCCTGAAGGACCCACTCACATGCTGCCCTTGCTCATGAGAGCTCTGCCTGGCGTGGACCCGAATGACTTCAGCAAGTGCATGGTGTGCTACACTGCTTTGTTCTATTTTATGTCTGCATTCTTGCTCTACATTTTGAAGTTTTAGCAAAAATTCCTTAAGTCACACAAAAGTATTTTCTTTTCCCACAGATCACATTCCAGTTTATTGCTACATTTGTGACTCTTGTGCCTTTGGTGGACTGTTCGTCTGCCCTACATGAAAGAACTGATTTGACAGAGGTGAGCTGCAGCAGTCTTTATGCTAGTTTTATGAATTAAACCAGATATGTTAAATGAACATTGGAAAATGATTTATTATTTTTATTTTTGTAACTGTCAGGTGGAAAGAGAGATGTGTTCTGCCTCAGCTGAGTTTGAAGACTTTGTGCTTCAGTTCATGGACAGGTATGGTGTTTTAATGCAAAACAGCATTTTTGTCCATTTTCAGCATCGTGCTTTTGCAGTGAACGAGCAACGTTAAGACATTTTAACTTAAGCGTGCTTCGTTTTGCGCAGATGCTTTGCCCTGATAGACAGCAGCACTCTGGAACAAACTCGAGAGGAAACGGAAACTGAAAAGATGACACATGTTGAGAGTCTGGTAGAGCTCGGTCTCTCTTCAACCTTTAGCACGATCCTCACACAGTGCTCCTTGGATATTTTCAAGGTTAGAATTCACTCGCAGTTTTCACAGTTTTCCTATGTTTATTTATTAATTGTTGAAATATTGGGCTCTGAAAGTGAAGCACAAATGCCTTTAGAAGATTTTTTTGTTTGCATGTTAAAGTGAGACGTGCAGGTTGTCTTGGTCTTTTTTGCTTGTGGTATGCTTTGTATCATGTTAGCACCTATTTATTTATGTAATTTTCTGTATACTGTAGAATTATATTTGTATGCGTAGTACCGGTATATGCACTTAATACGTGGATACATACGCATTTGTCATATTGTTTCAATAGGTGGCTTTGGAAAAGGTCTTCAACTTTGCAACCACCAACATCTTTGAGACACGTATAGCTGGAAGAATGGTGGCCGACATGTGTCGCGCTACTGCCAAGGTAAGTCTTACCAGCTCACTGTACATCAAATAGATCTTCATTAAATTTTTTTTATGTAATGTGTTTTTTTTCTGTACCAGTGTCACCCTGCAGAGTCGCTCAAGATGTTTGTGCCACATTGCTGCAACGCCATAAACCAAATTTCTGCCAGTAAGTTATCGAAACACACACAGAAGCACATATAAAGTTTCCAATGTTACTCTTGTTTCCCCTCTTCAGTCTTTTGTCATTTGTCTGATGTACACTTTGTTTTTCAACAGATGAGGAAGTGTTGAACGAGGAGGAGCTTGATAAGGAGTTTCTGTGGAATCTGCAACTTCTTTCTGAGGTGAATTAACTTAAATAATTCAATTCTTGCCCACTCGCTCCCTTCAACATTCAGTATTGTAACACTATTTTTTTCCACCTTTTTGCTATTTGCACGTTAGGTCACTCGGGTGGACGGCGACAAGGTCTTGCCGTATCGCTCGGACCTGGTCCAAATTTTGCAGTTGACGCTTCACCTCAAGTGCAAGCAGGGTTATATTCTGGCCTGTAACCTGTTGCACCACATTCTTCGCGCCACTGCCCTCATTTACCCCACAGAGTACTGCAGTGTGCCAGGAGGCTTCCACCAACCAGTCAGTGACTACCTCCCCATCAAGGTATTTACTCTTATTTTAAATGTTGATAACATTTATAAGCTTAATTAAAAAGTTTCACCTTCCTTTTAGGCGGCAGTGGTTGAGTGGTTAGAGAAGTCGTCCTCCAGTGCAAGAGTTGGGGGTTTGATTCCACCAGCAGTCACATGCTGAAGTGTCCCTGGGCAAGACAATTAACCCCTCGTTTGCCTCGGATGTGTGTCCCTTCGGTGTATGCGTGTGATAAAGCACTGATTAGTCTTTGTATGGATATAGTAGAGTGTTGTATGAATGGGTAAATGAGGACAGAGATTGTGTTGTATAAGAGATATGTGCTATAGAAGTACAGTCCATTTACTAATAAGATACAGTAGTTGTCACTTTCTTCAAGACATTACACACAACATTTTGTGATTTACAGTAGTCCCTCGCTACTTTGCGGTTCGTTTATCGCTGACTCACTCCATCGCGGTTTTTCAAAGTAAGATTGGACATGACACACATTTGGTTGATTGATGGATGATCCGCACGGTCGGCATGGAATTTTTATTTAAAATACACTATTTTAAATGATTTAGCACCTCCTGCACCTTTGTGCAGCCCACACTGCAGGGTAAACTTCCTGCTGTAGCTGATCAGCTTTTCTTCGTGCAGAGCGTAGAAGTGGGCGTGGCCAAGAGCTCTTGCAGGTGGCTGACAGCAGTGGAGGCAGGGAGCTGAAATCATGACATTCTGTGCTCTTTTAGATCATTTAGGGTTTAGAAACATTATTTAAAATATTGCATGAGTATGGGAAAGGTTTAAAATGCCTATATATATATATATATATATATATATATATATATATATATATTTCAATTATCTCCACTATTTTATTTTTTGAAAAATAAATAAATTAAATAAGATTACTTGAGTTGTTAATCTGATAAAAGCAATACAAGAGAATCGAATGTCTCCTACACACGTTTCTAGAAGTAGTCTAGACCTGTAGGTCAGCAGTTGTTAGAAGTTATAAAAGATTATTTATTTAATATTATTGTCTGTGCAGGACTGGGGTCGACCTGGGGACTTGTGGAACTTGGACATCCAGTGGCACGTCCCCAGTGTTGAGGAGACTTCATTCGCTTTTTATTTGCTGGACCTGATCCTCCACCCTGAACTTCAGCGCCTTCAGAGATTTGCAAAAGGAGAACAAGACATGAGCAGGTGATTTAAAACAAAACAAAAAAACATCTGTTTTCTTTTAGAAATTACACTCTGCAATAATTTAAATTGATATTAGGAAACTCTTTATTTAATTTTTTATACACCTGCCCAAAGGCGGACATAATATGGAAGTCTTCATACAGACTTAAACTTTGTCATCCTGCTCATAACTTCTGATTCGCTCAAGATAATTTAATGATACATGTTACACATATGCATCATCACTTGGAATGTCACATACACTTTTCATCACTCCTTCTCCAAGGTCAAGGTCCCTAATCAAGGTCAAATGTTTTACAAGGTCTTTGCTCGTCTGTGCCATTGCTGCAGATTGCTGTATAACATTTGATCAATGAGTGTATAATGGTCTGTGCGCGTTCCTCTTGTTCCTCTAGAGATGATGTCCTACAAAGCCTCACCATTGTTCAGCACTGTCTCCTGGGAGCAGGGAGTTTGATGCCTCCATTGAAAGGAGAGCCCATCTCTGATCTGTGAGTGGCTGCATCTCGAACATAACTCTTATTTGAATTATATTTAAAAAAAAAACATTATTAATGTTTTATTTAAAAGAATTGGTTATTTTGCTACATTTGTTTTAAGCCCTAACTTCAATGTGAGTTGAACTTTTTCTCACAGAGTTCATAGCATGGTGAAGCTGGATGAGACCACCCTGTATACAGGAACGACGTATGGTATGTTGATTTTAGAGAATAATAATAGTTTGTTGTGTTGTCATTTGACCTTGTTAAATTCTCTTCATCTACAGATAAGACTAGAGAGAACTACAGAGATGCTATCTGTAGCGTGATGACACAGCTGCTGCGTATGTGTTTGCCCTTTTTTAAGTATTACTTTGCTTTAGCCATGTTGTAGCCAATTGGGAAACATTTTTGTCTTCTGAGTTGCTTTATCTTCTGCTTGCAGATTATATTTTGGAGCACTCTGAAGATGACACCAAGTCCCTGTTCTCCATCATCAAGGTGAGTTGGAGAGGATGGTTAAAATGCAAACTTGAATGATTTGTGGTATTTCTGGACCTCATATGGAGCCTGGTCATGTAAAAGTTGGGCTTTGCTGCTAACTGGAACAGAGTTATGTTCAAAAATTATGCACTGATCACATGTCAAATAACAATGTGTTGTTTTTTTTGTGGTACCTTTCAGATTATCAGCGACCTTTTGCACTTCAAAGGTTCTCACAAGCACGAGTTCGACTCCCGCTGGAAGAGCTTCAACCTTGTGAAGAAATCAATGGAAAACAGAGTAAGCTTGTATTTTCATTTTGTTTTTCTCTTTCTATAGAATTGCTCGTAGATTGTAAAATCATCTGCCAAAGTTGTTTGCGCTAAATGCATCAGTGGTTAATTTATACTGTTTGTTTATTTCAAGTCGATAAAGCCCTGTTCTTTCATTTGCAGCTTCATGGCAGAAAACAGCACATCAGAGCGCTTCTAATTGACCGAGTCATGCTCCAGCACGAGGTAAGTGTTAAATGGAAATATTTTTTCTTTTGCTACAGTGTCGCCATTTTGGCATATTTGAGTTTTTAAACCTTCTCGGCAACTTTAAAAACATTACTAGCTATTTCTTGGAGAAGTGAATCTGAAGTAGCAATAAGACTTTCTCACAGTTTTACTGTAAGTATGTTGGTTGCATGAAGGAATTTAGTTTATTTATTCTTTTGAATATGTAAAAAAAGAAAAAACACCATGAGCTTAATGTCAAAACTTTTGTTTTACATATTCATTGGAGTGGGTAGAAGTATAAACTTATCAAAATTCCCACTCCGTAATCACTTACATATATTACATGTATAATCCATACATATAACTAAACCCATATTTAATAGTTAACCCAGCAATATAGTGTCTATTTAATGTTAACTACAGTGGATGAACAGCTATTAATTCTTTAACTTAACCAAAAAGAAACAATATGCCGAACAACAGCAGCACAAACATGAGTTTGTGTGAGCAGATGAGTCTGAATGAACACAGCAGCGTGAATTATCTTTCCTTTTCAAACTTTCTCTAGAGTTATCTTGTGCATGTAAGTAGCCAAAATCATAGAATAAAGAATTTGTCACATGTCTGTATGTTTGAAGCAGATTTTATCAAAGCAGATAACAATCTTTGCACTGTTTTGATTTTAACATCTGTTGTTTGCCGTTTTAAGACACGATTTCAGTGTCATTTTGTTGTCTAACAGATAATACAAATTGTGAAAATGAAAGCAGCGTTGTTGGGATTTTGATCATTTCAGTACATGTGAGCACAGATGTAAAACAAGTGACAAAGAAGAATGCACATTTGACAAACTGTCATTAAAAATATGTCATCAATTTATCATGTTGAGCATCATTTTAGCAACTTTTTTTTTAAATCAAACTTGAATATTGATTTTTTTTTATTTTTTAGATTTATTATTCTGATAACTTTCGTTTTAGTTTCAATGACTTTTATTGTTTGCTGTATATCAGCTGAGGAAACTGACTGTGGAAGGATGCCAGTACAGGACCATTCACCAGAAGCTGATGAAAGACCTTTTGAGGCTTTCCACAAGCACATACAGTCAAGTGAGTTCCACATTACAAGCATCAGATCTTTGAATTGTTTGTGCTGTATCTATTGTTTACTCATTTTTACTCTTTGCTTTAATTTTACAGGGTTAGTGATGTTAAAATACTAATTAAAAAAAAGAAGTAAACTGAGACGTTTCTCATCTTTCAGGTACGCAGCAGAGCTCAAAGTGTGTTCTTCACCGCCCTGGGAACCTACAATTTCTGCTGCAGAGATCTGATTCCTCACGTCCTCGAGTTTCTCAACCCAGACAACAGCAGTGTCACTCAACAACAGTTCAAAGTATGACTATATATGAATATGAAATATATACATATACTGTATATAAGTATTTTTACATGTTTAGGGGAAATTATTCTTCGTAGTTTTTCTTTACGTTTGATTTGCACTTCCTTCCAGGGTGCATTGTACTGTCTTCTTGGGAACCACAGTGGAGTGTGTCTGGCTAATCTGCATGACTGGGATTGCATTGCTCTGACGTGGCCTGCTATTGTGCGCTCTGGCCTCAGCTCAGCCATGTCACTTGAGAAGCCCTCCATTGTGCGACTTTTTGACGACCTCGCAGACAAAATCCATCGGCAGTATGAGACTATCGGCATCGACTTCACTGTGAGCTCAACATGGAAAAAAGCAAACGCAGCACAGAATCAAAAAACAAAGATTGAAATAAACTGTGAAATCTAGAAATAGGATGTTAGTTTTGACTGAAGTGTTGTGTACAAAAACTGCAGGATTTTACATTTTAATAAAAAAAATTATTCTAAATTATTCAACTTTAAACACGTTTTTTCCTTTCCTTTCTTGTACTGAACTGATAAATTGCAGTAAGTTAACCCAAAACTATAATATAGATGTTGTGGATAAGTTTCAACAACTAGGACCTTACGAACCGTATAAAATTAATTTCTTATAGTTCCATAAATAATCGTGTTTCCTATTTTCTACAAATCTGTGCATGCCACTTATATTAACGTATTATTTTGTAATCCAAACAATTTGTAGTCCCATTTTAGCGTTATTCTAAAATGGATAAAAATTTTATTTTCCTCTGTCGTTTTAAAATATTACTTATCTTTTATAAAAGTAATTTAAATCTGATTTTAGAATTTTAAATTGTTATAAACAAACAGAAACATGTCATTTTTATGTGTTCAGATATCTTTTTTTTTTTTTTTTTGTCAAAAGTTTCAATGTTTTTGGTCCAACCTGAAGGATCATTAAAACTATGTCTTACGATTAATGCTCGTTTAAAAACACTACTTTTGTGTTTATAGTGTTTTGTTTTTAACATATATTCAGAATCAGTACACTTCCAAAAATATTCATTTTTAAGTATTTTGGGTCTGTTTTCAGTCCAGCTCATCAATCATCTCTTACAGGTCTTATGTTTACCGTTGATTGACCACAGTGTGTACAGATACTGAGTGTTTTCTTTTATATCCCTTTAGCTCTCTGGTGAGTGTTGTTCAGTGGCAAACCAGCTTATGACTACAGGAAATCCTTTTCCTGAAGAGCCCGTGCCCTCTAAAGAAGAGTCAGACGAAGGTTTAAACCGTCAGAAGGTCAAGAACTCTGAAGCCGTTGAGTAAGTTTTATACTAACAAATGCACAAAACACAGTGCAGTGCACAGCTTCTCCTCTTTATTTAAAGGTTCTCACAAACCTTTAAAACATATCACTCCTACTCCTTTCAAGGTATACTTAGGCCTGTCACGATAATAAATTTTGCTGGGCGATTGTCTCAGAAATTATTTTGATAAACGATGATAATGTTTGAAATTTGACAATAATTAGTAATTATTGTCAAATTTAAGAAGAAATGTTGGTTAATTTTTGTGTGTAGTACCTTTTTTTGACCACTGGATGGCAGTATAAGACTGTATGAACCAAAGGATGGATAGTGAGGGAGCGAGCAGCGTGACTTTAAGAAAAATGGGATGGAGGCTTGTTTTTTTTTTTTTTGGGTTCTAAAAATGGCGGACGCTCTGTGTGTTTTTATTTCATTTAGCATAGCATTTTTCACACAAAGCTTTTAATAAAATCAGTAAACAAGTTCTCAGCTTCTTTTCGCAGAGAAAAACAAGTTTTTAGACGACGGCACGTGTTTCAACCATGAATTTTGGAGCTTTAACAAGACAGAGGTTTTTTCCCGAGGTCAGCCTGTTAGCTTAGCTCGTAGCTTAGTTTCTCAGCTTAGCTGCTTTTAACAATCTAAAAATGTGATTTTGGATTGTTAAACAGATTTTAAAGAAAAAAGAGAAATGGAGGGGTCAGTGAAGAGCAGTGAGTTGAGTTTTTTGTCATCCAGTGTCTTCAATAGAAAGAGAGACACGAAGAAACGATAAAGCCGATAAATGAAAATGAGGTCAATAATTTTCATTTATTATGCGATTAATTAATTGATGTATTCTTTATCGTGTCAGGTATACTTTCTGCAACTCAAAGTTTATATTAAAGTTTATTTGCATATGAAATCTAGTAATTATGTGTTTTTGTAGGAAATACGAAGGGCTTATTGGTGATCTGCTGGACTGCCTCAGCAACAGGAACATGTACGTTATAATGTAACCGTCTGCATGTTTACGTGCACTTATTGCTGCCTCTGACACTTGTTTTTTGTAACTTCAGGCCTTGGAAATTCGAGCACATTTCTATCGGATTCTTGTCTTTGCTGTTGAGAGACGATCACCAGCTGCCGCCTCCAGCTGTTACATTCTTTGTGGAAATCCTGAACCATGATTCCCTCTATGTCCGTAAGGTGCGGCATACATTATTCAGAAGACGAGGGGGTGATGCTGCTAGTGCCTTTTCTTGAACACGTTTGAAATATCTAATTTTCTCCAATAGGTGGCGATATCAGCTGTGGCTGGGATCTTGAAACAAATAAAAAGATCTCATTTGAAAGTCCCTGTCAGCTCCTCTGAGCTTTGCAAGGACTGTAAGTTTCTGCTTGCATTGCTTGTTTATGATGATTTTTATTTTACTGAAATTACTGGCTGTTTGTGCTGTTTTCACCATCTGTATCTGTCTTTGGTAGGTGAAGTCATAGAGGATAGGATTGTAGCAGGAGACCGCCCAGACAACCAGTGGCTCCAGTATAACAGCAACAAACTGCCACGCTCACAGGAAGACTGGGATCAATGTATGTTTGTGGAAAAGACACACTGGGGATACTACTGCTGGCCAAGGTATTTATTATGCCTCAAGTTGTTTGTTCTGCCTTTTTGTGTATCCTTAGTGTTAGATTTTTTTCTTCATATTTGTTTTGATATTTGTCAAACGTCTCTCCAACTTTTGTTCTCGCTTCATAATCGATTTATAGGAAACTGATGATATATGCACCTCAGGAGGAGCAGCCCCAACAGAACCTCAGCAGAGAGGAAATGACAGAGGTTTGTAACTACAGCATCTCGTGTAGGAACGATGTCCTGCGCATTTAGTGAAAGTCATTGTTATTGTTATTCTTCCAGCGGGAGCAGATCATCTTTGACCATTTCTCGGATCCAGTGTTCATTAACCAGTTTGTTGAGTTTCTCTCGCTCGAGGATCGTAAGGGCAAGGACAAGTTCAGCCCTCGCAGATTCTGTTTGTTCAAGGTGAGATCAGATTTAATATGGAAGTAAAAAAGCAACGAATAAAACTAGAGAAATTGCATTTCTTCGAAAATGCAGTGTGAATCTTATTGCTGAAGAACTGGCTAAAAACAGCTGAAATGTAGCTGAACTAGAAGAACAAGTCTAAATTAGCAGCAGAAAGCAGAAAGAACACATTTGCTGAATTATGTTTAAATAAGCAGAAATTAGCACAAAAATTAGGAAATTAGCTGAAAAAAAGATTACATTAGAAAAACATAGCTGAAAAGGCAGACAGAATCTTAAACTACCTGAATAAAGCAGAAAGAACTAAAATGAGATTTGAAAAAAATGTGGACTTAGCTAAAATTAGTATTAAATGAGCTAAATGTGTTTTGCGGCGAGCAGCGGCAGCAAGTCGCTGGCGCGACTTCCTGCCGCTGCTCGCCGCAAATCAACGATTATTGGCAAAACTGTGTGTGTACATGGTCTAGCTTCCACTTTCCTGCTCTCATCGACCACCTGAGTCTTACCTGTCGCTGTTCATCTGTCCAAGCTGCCGCCTCTTCTCCTACAATGCCAATTAGCAGGATATACACCTGGGCTGTGCTTCTCTGGACTCTCCTGGCACTCCTTCAACAACCTGTTACGGGTCTGATCCAGTACTCTGCTGCTGAGCTCCTCCGGCTGAGGTTTCATCCATCTGCACTTCCCCCTGCTTCGCTATTCATCTCGGATGCAACTCTCCTACCACGCCGGAAATACATCCACCGCGGACTTCGCCGGAACATCCAAGAGGACACGTCGAAATCCATAAAATCCATCTGGTCTACTTCTCGTCGTCACCGGCGTGCCTCCAACCGGGTTGTTGACCGCAGCGTGCTAGCTTACCCGGCCCGGTCAGCTAACGCTCCTGCAATGTCTGATAACTCCTCCGTAAACTTCGGTCTGCTTAACGTCCGCTCACTTACGGGCAAGGGACATCTCATTCAGGATCTCCTCACTGACCGTAAGTTTGATTTTTTATGCCTGACTGAGACTTGGCAACAACCGAATGATTTCTCTCAGCTCAATGATTCTACTCCACCGGGGTTTGTTTACATCTGTCAACCCCGTGGCACCGGCCGGGGAGGAGGTCTCGCGATAATTCACCGCGAGAAATGGAAAGTCTCGCCGTTGTCTGCTCCCACCTTCTCCTCTTTTGAATCAGCTGTGTGTCAGCTCTATGGACCTACCCCCACCATCATTGCAACCATCTACCGCCCGCCGAAAACTAACAGTGACTTTCTGGATGACTTCGCTGCTCTTCTCACTCACCTGTCAATTCTCTCACCAAACATTATAGTATTGAGTGATTTTAATATTCACATGGACGATGGAAATAACCCACTGACTAAAGACTTTTCATCCTGCCTCCAGAGTTTTGGTCTTCAGCAGTTTATCAATGTTCCCACTCATTCTAAGGGTCATGTCCTGGATCTAGTCTGCTGTTCTGGTGTATCTCCCTCGGATTATACAGCAGATGAACTCGCCATAACTGACCATTTTCTCCTCTCATTCAATATCTGTCTCCCTCTCTCTATCACCAAGCTTCCTCGTCTCATCTCTTTCCGTAACATTAAGGATATTGATTTAAATTCTCTCTCCTCCGCCGTCAATTCTCTCATGGACAATCTATACTCAACTCTAGACTCAACCATCCTTGATGACTTGGTCTCGTACTACAATACTGGTCTTCACTCAATACTCAACTCTCTTGCTCCGCTAAAAACCAGATCTGTTTCTTTTGTTCGCTCTGCGCCCTGGTTTACTACAGAACTTCGGCTCATGAAGGCTAAAGGACGGCAACTTGAAAGGCTCCACCGGAAAACTGGACTGGTTGTACATAAAGACATTTACAAAACTCACATATTGCATTACAAGGACTGTATCAATCAAGCCAAATCCTCCTACTACACTTGTTTAATTGGTTCAAATGAAGGCTCCACCAAGTCAATATTCTCCCTCTACAAGAACATCACCCAAGCCCCGGACTCCCTACCTTCACATCTGTGTTCAACTGAATTTTGTAACTCCCTCATGTCATTTTTTGACAGTAAAATTGTTAAGATCCATCAGTATCTCAGCTCACAACCGACCCCTTGTCCTACTCGTGAACTTTCTCCTCCAGCCCACTCCTTCTCTTCCTTCGAACTCCCGACAACTTCAGAAATCATAAGCCTCATCAACAAGTCCAAGTTGTCCACCTGTTTGCTTGACCCTCTTCCAACAGTTCTGGTTAAAGCCTGTGCCCCATCTATACTCCCTCTCATTTCTGCCATTATTCACTCCTCTCTCTCCACCGGAACAGTTCCTGCATCATTTAAAATTGCTGCCATAACCCCTATCCTGAAAAAACCTGGCGCTGATTACCGTAATCACAATAATTTCCGTCCTATCTCCAACTTGCCTTTCATCTCCAAGATTCTTGAAAAGACAGTTGCATCTCAACTCCATACTTACTTATCCAACAATAACCTGTATGAACTGTTTCAGTACAGAAACAGCTCTTATAAAAATCACCAATGACCTCCTCTTGGCAGCTGACTCCGGCTTGCTGTCCATCCTCATCCTCCTCGACCTGAGTGCAGCGTTTGACACCATTTGCCATGCCACCCTACTCAATAGACTTTCCTCTATCGGTATCACTCAGACTCCTCTAAACTGGTTTAAATCATATCTCTCCGGCCGCACTCAGTTCATCCGGATCAAAACCTTCACTTCCGAGCCTTCATCTGTCACAGGAGTTCCCCAGGGCTCTGTCCTGGGACCCCTCCTCTTCATTATTTATCTTCTTCCCCTCTGCACTATTTTCCACAAGCACAATATCGATTTCCACTGTTATGCGGATGACACCCAGCTCTATGTTTCCAGTAAGCCTGCCTCCAACCTCCCGCCATCTTCGCTTACCGACTGCTTGACTGAAATAAAATCCTGGTTCACCTCAAATTTTCTTAAACTTAACAGTGACAAAACAGAGGTTCTTCTCATTGGTACAAAATCCACCCTGGCTAAAACCAAAAATTTCAGTATTGACATTGATAACCGTTCCATTTCTCCCTCCCCTCAGGTAAAGAGTCTAGGTGTCATCCTCGACAGCACTCTTTCTTTCCAGTCTCATATCAACAACACCATCCGTTCAGCTTATTTTCACCTACGCAACATCAACCGCCTCCGCCCCTCCCTTACTCCCCATTCCACTGCCATCCTTGTTCACTGTCTGGTTACATCGCGCCTGGACTATTGCAACTCCCTTCTGTTCGGTCTCACCCACAAATCTCTTCATAAGCTCCAACTGGTCCAGAACTCAGCTGCCCGCATCATCACCAAAACCCCATCCATTCATCACATCACTCCAGTCCTGCAAAAACTCCACTGGCTGCCAACCAAGTTCCGCATAGATTACAAAATTCTCCTGTTCACTTTCAAGGCCCTCTACAATCTCTCCCCACCATATATTTCAAATCTTATTCATATTGCCATTCCCTCTCGCTCCCTCAGATCATCCTCCTCCATCCTTTTGACTGTCCCCTCCGCCCGTCTCACCACCATGGGGAGCAGAGCCTTCAGTCGCTCTGCTCCCCGACTTTGGAACTCGTTACCACCTCACATTAGAAACATAAAGTCAATCTCACAATACAAATCAGAACTCAAAACACACCTTTTTAGATCTGCTTTTTCCACCTGACACAATTGGTTTTGCCTGATTTTATATTGATTTTATACATTGTCTTTTTTCTTCCTTTCTTTTTCTTTTCTTTTCATCTCTTAGTTTCTGTTACTGCTGATTTTATTCTTTGTACGGTGTCCTTGAGTGCCAGAAAGGCGCCTTTGAAATAAAATGTATTATTATTATTATTAAATAGTAGCTGAAAGAGCAGAAAAGTGTGAATGCTTCATAAACATTTACACAATAAAAATACACAAACTAATTCTCCATCTCCTGCTCTTCCAGGGACTGTTTCGTAATTTTGGCCACACTTTTCTGCCTGTGCTAAAGCCACACATGGAGCGTCTGGTGGCAGATTCTCATGAGAGCAAACAACGATGTGTTGCTGAGATTATCTCCGGACTGATTCGAGGCTGCAAGCACTGGAGCTTCTCACAGGTACAGATCTGAAACAAGTACGAGTGGTTAATTACACCACATTCTCAAAACGTTTTCTAATTCTTGCGCAACTAGTCGGATAAAAACAGCCAACTCTTTTGTAGGCTAATTGCTACACGCATGAAAGTAGCCCTTGATCTTTCTAGTAATGCGATTGATGCTGTTTGTCAGGTTGAAAGTCTTTGGGAGCTGCTGTGTCCTTTGCTTCGCACTGCCTTGTCAAACATCACAATCGAAACGTATGCGGATTGGGGCACCTGCATTGCCACAGCCTGTGTAAGTTTGGTTGATTTACATTTGAAATCTTTCCTATTTTTCTCTTTTTTTAAAAAACGACTTCTGTTTCTGGCTTTGGTAGGAGAGCAGAGACCCACGCAAACTACACCGGCTGTTTGAGATGCTGATGGAATCTCCTGTCAATGGAGAGGGGGGCTCTTTTGTAGATGCCTGGTGAGTAAAAAGACACCAGAATTACAGAGCTGCAATATGTCATATGATGTATAATTTCACTCTTTCCAAATTCAAATAGAAAATATTACCTTGCAACCTGCACCTGACCATAAAACCCTTTATTGCAAAAACTTCAACCTTAAAATGTCCGTTTATAAATATATTTTATAACTAAAAATATCTTTAGATCAGTGGTAACTTGTGTTTTGAAATTGGCAAAACAGATGTTGGAATGTATAGAGAGTAAATATTTCCTCAATCAGTTGTTTTCCTTTGTACAGCTTTAAAAAAAAAACTATGAAAGTATTTAGCTGGTTTAGTTTTGCCTTTTTAAATTAAAAACAAAAATTGTAAACATTTAGTTTATCAAAATATTGATCCCCATATTGCCCTCAAGTCTTTTCCTCTTGTAAATTGGTCTTGATTAAGGTATCTTCTGGATTAAAAAAAATCAATTCAATTCAAAAATACTTTATTAATCACAAAGGGAAATTAAATGTAATAAATGTAATTGTAAAGAAATCATTTGGGGTGTTTGACATATTATTGAAACCTTTTTTTTTTTTCAGCCTTGAAATAATGTTCATTCTAACAAACTGTGTGGATGATATTTCTGTCTTTCCTAGTCGTCTCTATGTGCTGCAAGGAGGCCTAGCGCAGCAGGAGTGGCGTGTACCAGAACTTCTGCACAGGCTGCTTCAGTATCTGGAGCCCAAACTCACACAAGTGTACAAAAATGTTCGAGAACGAATTGGCAGGTGAGTTGTTGTTTTTTTCTTTCTTTTCCGTACATCTAGTAAACACACTCTTTATATTACATATCTCCATATTATAGATTATTTTAAATTTCTCTCTTTTTTTCTCATCTTGTCTTCCCTGATTTGGTGTTTTAGCGTGCTCACTTACATCTTCATGATTGATGTCAACTTGCCGCTCACTCAGCCAACCAGCTCCCCCCGCATCTCCGACTTCACAGAGCGAATTCTGTTAAAGCTGAAGCCCCTAACAGAGGGTGATGAGGAAATCCAAAATCATGTGACTGAGGAGAACGAGGTTGGGGAGCAGGATGAAAGAACGCAGGCGATTAAGCTGCTCAAAACAGGTGGGTTGATCTGCACTCACACCGTGCTGATTATGGCTGGGGTGGTGAAACGTTGAACCTAAACATGAAACCTAAACTTCAGAGCAGTTAGGCCTTTTAAAAAAAAAATGTATTCAAATCTGCAGTGATCAAGTGGCTGATTGCAAGTGCTGGTCGCTCTTTTACCACCGCTGTCCCCGAACAGCTTCGGCTGCTTCCCCTGCTCTTCAAGGTGAAACACCCGTTCATTCCAAACCCTGATCTTTGAACTCTAAAAGTTGTCACCTTAAACTACACAAAACAAACTGATAATACGTCGGTCTCTGTCCTTTTTTTCCAGATTGCGCCAGTTGAAAATGATGACAGTTATGACGAACTTAAGAGGGACGCGAAGACCTGCCTGTCTCTAATGTCTCAGGGACTTCTTTACTCAGATCAAATCCCTACGGTCCTTGATGTCCTGAAGGAGGTGAGTTATAGTTGTTATTCCACTCCTCACTTGAACATGAAAGGACTTTTTACAGAGCTTGGCCAAGTAGTGCCCTGTAAGAGATCAGAGAACATAACTTTAGACCACTCAGCAGCAGTCCAGTCCTTTTTGTCTTTAGCCCAGGCAAGACGCTTCTGATGCTGTCTCTTGTTCAAGAGTGGCTTGACACAAGGAATGCGACGGCTGAAACCCATGTCTTGCATACGTCTGTGCGTGGTGGTTCTTGAAGCACTGACTCCAGCTGCAGTCCACTCTTTGTGAATCTCCCCCACATTTTGGAATGGGTTTTGTTTCACAATCCTCTCTAGGGTGCGGTTATTTCTATTGCTTCTACACTTTTTTTCTACCACATCTGTTCCTTCCCTTCACCTCTCTATTAATGTGCTTGGACACAGAGCTCTGTGAACAGCCAGCCTCTTTAGCAATGACCTTTTGTGTCTTGCTCTCCTCGTGCAAGGTGTTAATGGTCGTCGTTTGTACAACTGTCAAGTCAGCAGTCTTCCCCATGATTGTGTAGCCTACAGAACTAGACTGAGACCATTTAAAGGCCTTTGCAGGTGTTATTAGTTAATTAGTGTGTGACACCAGGTGTCTTCAATATTGAACCTTTTCACAATATTCTAATTTTCTGAGATACTGAATTTGTGGTTTTCATTAGTTTTCAGTTATAATCACCAACATTAAAATAAATAAACATTTGAAATATATCAGTGTGTGTGTAATGAATGAATATAATATAAAAGTTTCACTTTTGAATGGGATTACTGAAATAAATCAACTTTTTCATCATATTCTAATTCTATGACCAGCACTTGTACATTTGCATCAATCCAAGACGCCCATTTTTGTGAAACAAAAGCTTTGAGTAAGTTACTGATGGATCTGTTCATGTGTGTTACAGATTGCTGGCAGCAGCTCTTGGCATGCCCGCTACACGGTGCTCACATATCTGCAGATCATGGTTTTTTACAACCTGTTTACATTCATGAGTGACCAGAAAGCAGTGAATGATGTGCGGGGGCTTGTAATAAAACTACTGGAAGACGAGCAGCTTGAGGTAAAAACATACGTTCATCCAGATTCATACACCCGTTTTTAATAATTAAATTATAAAAGAAAAAAATAGTTAATTCAAATATGAACACTAGCTGGAAAGAAGCAGACACACGGCAGCCTGATTTTGTAATAATCACCGACCTATTGGCCAGAATGTGCTTGTTTATGCTCGCAGGCACTCTCAGTCTTTCAGCTTTACTGTAGTGATTCAGCACTCTCCTTTCAGCTCTCTGCACTCCCTCTCTTTCCCCCCAGTCCTCTTATGGTTTCTATGGAAACCACTGGCTGCAGTAATCTGTTGCTATGGAGATAATGTTCAATTTGAAGGAAGACAAGAGGGAGAAGGAAGGAGCAGAGACAAAGAAATGTGTGTATGACGGGGTGATGAAAACATTTTGGTTTGACCTTACGTCATATGGCGTATCCTGTCTTATATATAAACCTCAGTTATGTATATGACAGGTTGGTCTCATCTGTTTGAACAAAACTCAGGGCACTGTACACATTTCTTTTGGAACAGGGCTATAAAATGTGCAACAGGTTATAGAGAAGCATCTTCACTTTTTTATTTACTCCAGTGTTCAAATAACCAATGGATGTGCACCATGCCCCATGGCATTGTTGTATTTGTTTCGTGTTACACAATGCAGCTAAAGACGGTCTATAAGGGTTTATGCAATGAACAGTAAGTGACAGGAGGCCAGAACATAGAATCAGCTTTCACATCTTGTGTCCGAGTTAAAAACAGCATGAGTAAAGTTAGATCCTCTATGTCTACCATATTTTTCACTGTATAAATCAGTTTTTTTGCATAATTTCCATGCCTTGCGACTTGCAGGCCAAAGCGATGGATTTATGGCTTATATCCCATATTTATAAACCAATTTTTGGCTGAGATATGACCCTTTTCATTCATTCTGACTGAAAATATTGAACACCGTCATTTTCAGCCGCTAGATGGCAGTCGAGCTGTATGGCTTGCCGTTGCGTCACGTAATAGGTAAAAGTGGCTATTAATGACAGACTGCCGCCGCCATCTGCCTGGAGCAAACGTCTAATCAGCTTCATTTCACTGCGCCGCCCCATCGAAATGCAGCTGATTTGACCATTAAAGTGCATTTATTAAGTAAAAGTTCAATTGAGACACACCTTTGATATAATTTTGAGCAAACCAATAATTGTTTTTTAGTGTTAGTCTTCTTAAATTCTTGTTAAAGTCCTCCCATGCACGCTCCCGTGGCCGCCATTTGGCAACCAATCGATTTTTTTTTTTGGCACAACACCGGCCCACATTTCCGACTTATACGGCGGTGCGACGTTTACGGCGGAAAATACGGCATTTGGTTGATTTAAATAAAAATGTAATTGCCATCTTAACTTTGAAACTAAACATAGGAATACAATCGCATGAATGCAATATGATCAGACATAGCGGAAAGTATAATGGTGAGCATAAACTACAACAAATAGCTGATCATTTTAGTTTACTTAAAGATAGGGGGCTCATGTAATCCAAAATTGGGACTTAACATTTTAACTTTCATTGTAATATGTTAATATTTTCTGTGGCCTAGACTTATCTTTTAAAACCTAACATTTTTTTGTGTTCTCTGCTGGATGATTTTGTGTTTTGGTTCCAGCAGCTCCTGAGTTTAATACATATGAACTTCCCATTTGGCTTTTCTCCCCTTTGGTTTTAGGTACGAGAAATGGCTGCCACCACGCTCAGTGGCTTTCTTCAGTGCAATTTCTTGTCCATGGATGCCCCCATGCAGGGGCATTTTGAGGCTCTCTGCAAAACACGTCTGCCTAAGAAGAGGAAAAGAGAGCTTGGCTCTGTTGTGGACACCATTCCCTCTGCTGGTAGGACTCTCATCAGATCAGTAGTGAAATTTGTTTTTTATTCTGTTGACTTGTTTCAGCTGAATCTCTTGTGTTTTTGTAGACCTTGTGCGCCGCCATGCTGGTGTTCTTGGTCTGAGTGCCTGTATTCTCTCCAGTCCGTATGATGTTCCCACCTGGATGCCACAACTATTGATGGACTTGAGTGCCCACCTTAATGACACACAACCCATTGAAGTATATAGAATCACCTATAGCTGCTTCTTCATTGTCACATGTAGGAATCAAACACCCATAGTTCCCATTTTCTGCTTCTAGATGACTGTAAAGAAAACTCTGTCAAACTTCCGGCGGACTCATCACGACAACTGGCAGCAACACAAGCAGCAGTTCACAGATGATCAGTTGTTGGTCCTCACCGACCTGCTGGTTTCCCCGTGTTACTACGCCTAAAACCTGGTAAAGCATTTTGATTTGTACACTTGTGATCCTAATTTAAAGAACTTTCAATGCTGTAAACTGTTGCATAACACGGAATTAAGTATTTTTGCAGAGTGCTTCTTAATCCACCTTTTTATTGTTTTGTTTTTTTCCTTATGTCAGATTTCAAGAACCCAAGACTTCACACCTGCTTACACTGAACAGGCCAATTCCTGACCGAGTTAAAACCACGGCATCCTTGCAGAGCTGGGAGAAGAAGACAGGCACATCATGAATCTGTAGTGCGGCTCTCAAAAAGATCCAAACGTTCTGTGTTTGTGTATTTAACTCCTTTACTTTTCAACTATTCTTAATATTTAAGGATGAATAATGGCAGGGATGGACGGCCTGCAGTTTGTAACATTACTGTACAGAAGTTTATTTAATTTGTTTTTCTTTGTGGTTCGTTTGCCTGCATGTGCACAGGAATGTGTGTGTGTGTGTGCGTGTCTATAGGATGCTCGAAGGCATTCGCTGATATAACACAACATTTCTCAGGATCAAATCCACTCTGAGCCAACACAACTGGACTCTTTACCATCTTCAGGCAGTGAAGTGTTTGCTACTAGCCACAGAAAATTGACTATTAACCAATGGTCTCTAGGTCAGATTGAAATTTGCAACACACAATGTTTGTGTGGTTGTTTGATCTATATATGATCATGCATCATGTATGTATGTCATCTTACAGCAAATATGCACAAACTAATTTATTTATTTTTTTTGAAGTTCCGAGTTTTAACATTTTCATAGTTTATCTAAAAGTATGTTGATTGCGATGGAGCCTGCTCTCATCTAATTTTGCAACGAAAGGGAGAGTGCAACCTCCCCACTGTTGTGCTGTGTGATGCGTTTGCTGCAAGGACCTGAGTGTAGTTGGATCACAATGTCATGTGTCTCAGTGCAAGAAAAAAATGCCAAATTGCCTGTCCTTAGCTGGACCTCTCCCCTCAGATATTTGACCTTAGTGCAATGACATTAGGTTACTTCGGTTTGTTTTCCCCTGGTGACTGGAAACCAGTCTGAGCATCAAAGCATTTAGTACCTCACATGTAGTGTAGTGCCAAAACTGCAGTGAATCGTATTTTTTTTTTTTTTTTTTTTTTAGATTTTTCTGAGATAATAAATTGTTTATAACAAAACCAGCATTTCAGCGTTTTTCTTCCAAGTTCAGATATCTGAGCATAAAACAATGGTCTGTTTTTTTTTTGTCTATGATTTATTTACAAGTATTTGCCATGCACAATAACTGATATTTAATTGGTTCTGTAATTTTGAACGTATTTGCAAAAGGATGTTCTCATATCACCTAGTTGTCTGAACTGCTCCTTATTTTAGAAGTTATTTAACTTTGTTTTTAATCAAATCTATATGCCACTACTTGGGTTTAAACCTGCTTACAGGATGCTGGCCCTGCTTTAAATATGAAGACGTTCTGAACTCCGTCGCCTAGCAACCGCTGTTGGTGCTGCGTTTAAGGACGGTTGCGCAAACGGACAATAAATGATTCAACTAATTTAACCTAAACAGTGTAAAATTTCGTTTGCTGATCAATAAAAGGCAATTTGAGGCTCTAGAATTTCTCACGTGAATCTCGGGAAAAAAAAGGCTTTTTCCATTTAATTTTAACAGCTGTCACAGCCATGGTAAAGAAATACCTTCTTTTTTTCTTTTTTTTTTAACTTGATAAACATCTAGTTCTAGGGGTCTTTGTCAAACAGGTTGTTGCCTTTAATGCAGCGGTTATGCGCATGCGCAGAGACGTCGACGGTGACTTCATGCTTTTTTTTCAACGCACGTCCAGCCGCCGTCTGTCGCGCCTCCTGCCAGAATAGACTCAACCCATGTCCAAGAAAACGAGTCCGCTGCCGTCTATTTGCGCAGAACGTGCCATTTTTTGTTTATTTTTGCAAAAACACAAGGAGTCATTTATACCGACGAGCTGCCTTGCTGTGAAAGAAGCTGCAGCGGAGGACGTTTACTTTATCTTCTCAGAGCCGTGGTGCCTTCAAGGACTGTCGTATTGCTTTAAATAGAAGGGGCTGCAATTAGATCATGATGATGCACGACGAACGATCGATTACAGGTGGTGGTATATATTTTATCATTCTTAGTCTTTGTATCAAAGCAGCTTGCAGTTGAGGGAACCGGGATGTGCATGTGAGATTTCAGCTGTATGCTGGAAGGGTGTGGGGGAACTCAGGTTGTCTAATTGTCCAAAATCAGTGATGCATACTGTCTAATGTGCAAGCCAGCAGTTCATTTCCTTTCTTTTCACAATTAATAGAAAGTTAGCACTGCTTTGATTTTTATTGAATAAAATAAATGAAATCAAATGCACATTAACCAATAGCTGCCTTTGTGTCTTGTAGTCCTCTGCCAAGGCAGCAGCAATGGCGGACGCAGCAGATGCAGTGATCATCATGTACTCCTAATGCTAAAAATAATAACGGAGGAATCCATGTAACTTCTCCAACAATACGATGAACAACACTCTTTCACCACCTGAGCTAGTGGATGTGCCGAGACAGCAGAGCTTCAATGGCACCCCGGACGCACAGACCCCTTCAGGCTGGGCCGTGATCCACACAGCCACATTGACCTTTTGCTCCCTCCTCCTCATCTTCATCTTCTTCCTGGGCTCTTACGGCAACCTCGTGGTGTTCCTGTCCTTCTTCGACCCAGCGTTTCGCAAGTTCCGCACCAACTTTGACTTCATGATCCTCAACCTGTCTTTCTGCGACCTGTTCATCTGCTGTGTGACGGCCCCCATGTTTGCACTGGTGCTCTTCCTGGATGCAAGCGGTGGGGACGGCGTGTCGAAGGGTTTCTGCTTTGCCTTCCACTTGACCAGTTCGGGGTTCATCATCATGTCCCTGGAGACTGTAGCCGTCATTGCCTTGCACAGGCTTCGTATGGTTTTGGGGCAGCAGCCCAATCGCACCGCGTCCTTCCTCTGCACGTTGGCCCTCACCGCCCTGCTGTGGACGTCCAGCTTCACCATGGCCGCTCTCCTCACCATGCGAGCTTACCCACGTAGAGAAGGACCCTGCTTGCCGCACTTTGGTCTGGGAAGCGGACAGGCCAGAGTTGTGTTGTACGTTTACTTATCAGACTTTGCTTTTTGCGTCGCCGTGGTCTCTGCGTCCTATCTGATAATTGCCAGGACACTGAGGAAGAACGCTCAAGTGAGGAAATGTCCAATCATCAGTGTAGACGCCACATGCCCACCACCTCAACCCCCTCCCCCTTTGATTGCAGCCGGTTTCGAGAGCATGCAGTGCGCTGTTCAAGGCCCTTCTCTGTACCGTAACCAGACTTACAACAAACTGCAGAATGTAAAAGCACACTCTTGTGCCAACAGGCCCAGCCAGCCTACAGTTCCAGGGGCGGCCCAAGGAGCCACGTGCTGTCAGCTGGTCTCGTCCGTTAACTTGGCCACAGCAAAAGACTCCAAGGCAGTTGTCACCTGTGCAGTCATTGTGGTCTCTGTGCTGCTTTGCTGCCTTCCAATGGGAGCTTCACTGGCGCAGGACGTTTTGTCACCAAAAAGTAGCTTTTCCCACTACCAGTTTGAACTGTGCAGCTTTGTGTTAATTTTCCTCAAATCGGGCATCAATCCGTTCGTGTACTCGCGCAACAGCGCCGGCCTTCGTCGCCGCGTGCTGGGCTGCGTACAGTGGGCCGTGCTGGGCTTCTTTTGTTGCAAGCAAAAGACTCGGCTGCACGCGATGGGAAAGGGCAGCCTGGAGGTCAACCGCAATAAATCTTCCCACCACGAGACCAACTCGGCCTACGTGCTTTCGCCCAAGCCACCGAGGAGGCTGGTGGACCAAGCCTGTGGGCCCAGTCGCTCCAGGGACTGCAACAGTAGTCCGAGGGCCACAGGTGCCCGGAAACCTCGCCTCCCAAGCACGTCCACGCCAATGAACACCCGCATCGAGCCGTACTACAGTATATACAACAGCAGTCCCTCTGCGGGACCCAGTTCTCCCACCAGCCTGCAGCCGGTCAGCTCGCAGACATTTGCCTTTGCCAAGTCCTACGTAGCCATGCACTACCACACGCACCAAGACGCACTGCAAGACTTCGACAGCACCTCCGCGCACCAGATTCCCATTCCTTCAGTGTAATCCTTGAACTAAAAGGCTTAGGGCACCATGACTTTAAATCAAATGTGAATCAGAATAGGAAAATAACTTTATGAATATCTTTTATTTTACCAGAATGATAAGCTTTGACACTGAACCTAAGAAGGCAGTTGGTTTGAAAGGGTCTGATCCCAAACCTCAATTGCACTCGCTTTTTTTTCCTTCTACTAAAAGTCAAGTTTAGTGAAGTTTTAGGTTCGATATAATTCATGACGAGCACCTAACGTGACACGGCAGCTCCTAGTGGCACTCCTGGATCCTTTCTGGTTTAGGTTTGACATCCCTGGAACCAGCTGCTGCAGCATCAGGCTGAGATACCCGCACAAGTCCACTCATGACCTCCAGCGTCTGCACACGGATGGAGCGGCGCCAGTTTAGAAAAATGTATTTGTCAACTTCATACACTTTTTAACACAATAAATGTTCTGCAAGTTGCAGAGGGTTTTTGGCTTTATTTGACATTTGAACCCGTTTTTTTTTTTTTTTAATCAAAGCACGTGTTGCAACATGTTCGGATGCCAGTTCTTTGTGTTGCAGAATATCTTCATTCTTTTTAGGCAGGAATAAGGCAACAAAAGGTAAATGATTAAAAAGAAATCTGAGGAATCAAACTCTTGTTTTGAAACTCCATTTGCAGTATTGATTGCAGCTAGCATATTAGCAGTGCACTAGCATAGAAGAGTAATTTATCACAAAAATTGGGTTTCAAAAGTAGAAATTTTACCACTGGCTCCCTCTACTGGTCTTAAATTATCCCCCCAAACTTAACATTTCCACAAAGGTGATGACAACTATTTCTTAATTTGCCATGTAGAGCAATTTGTTTCCACAATGTCCTTAATTTTCATTCAACTTATTGACCTTGTGCAACACTACAAATCAAGTTCTATTTATTCTTTGCAGAAAAAATGTTTTTTACCCGTCATACAGCAGCGATGAAGTTCCCAGTGTGCATCTTGGTAAAACCACAGAATAACTCTTAACTGGACACACATTCTGTACATCCTACAAACTTCTGTGAAATCTGAATAAAAGCACGAACTTTCATTATTCCACAACAGCCTCTCATGCATAAGTTACACTCACTCGTGCTGTAAATTGACACATCTTGCTGCAGAACATTTTCCAACTTTGCTTTTACCTCTTCCCTGCAAGAAGCTCATCATTTCATAGCACATACACACGAAGAGAGTTGATTTCCCTGATGATTATTAATCCAATTCATCTGTCCTTGCAATGAACTCAAAGAATCATCTTAAAATCCAAGGCTCTGTTGGGCGAGTCCCTTTTCGTTCTTTGCTCGTCTGTTGGGGTCGACGTTTCACCGGTTCTGCTCCTAGGCTTCATGAAGTCCAGCCTTAGGATCAGTCAACCTCAGTTTAGGCTTTCAGCACGGTCTGCTTCCATTTAATGTGTCCGCTCATCACGCACCGCTGCCGTCATGAGATCTTAATCTAACTGGAGACTGACAGAAGTCCATGCTCGTCAGCTGTGTCCAGAATTCTGCATATTACAGGAGACTCAACCTAGGATAACAAATAAAAACATTCATCACCATCCATGCATACAGCCAGAGCAAGGTAATAGACTTGTAGTCTACTCCTTTTTTAATTTAAGGTATTTTCTGCCATTTATTCTTCACAGTTTGATTAATAAGTTTGAAAACTGCTCAGAGAACCATTCGCTCCTGTTAACACCATCTTCCACACGTTCTCCTTAAACTTGGCTACAATTACGGCACTTATATTTTTATTGATTTATTTTTGAACTGCTCAGTTTACCGTGTCTTGCATTTAGTGGTGCAGTCTGAATGTAAAGTTAGGTTTTAGTACACGATATATTAGACTCAAGTTATTGTGTGAACGTTTATGAAGCATTCACACTGTTGTGATCCATTTTTCTTTGCACGTTTTTCAGCATCTTTCTCGTTCCGCAATTTTTGTGCCATTTTAACAAATCATACATCAAAACGTTCAGCTCTTTCAGGAGAAGGGTGCTACGACTTTTGGTATTGGTGCAACTTTAGCTTGTTGAAATATTTAGCCTTTTCTGCCATTTTTTCCCTCAGAAAATCAATTGAGCTCATTTTACAACCTTCACATTTTTAGAACTGTTTACAACCTTTTACTGCTCCTTTTACATTTTGTTTTGGTTCAGCTTCTTTCAGTTTCCTTGTGCAAATTAAAAAAAAAAAGTGTCTACTTTCAGCTAATTTCAGCTTGTTATGCTCCTTTCAGCTTCTTTCTCCAAGTTTAAGCTTTTTCTGCTAGTTCAGCTACTATTTACTGGTAACTGTTTTTATGCCAATTTTAGCTTTTTCAGCTAATTCCATGTTTTTTGCACTCATTCAACTTTTTTCAGCCTAGTTCAGCAAAAATGTGCTCTCTCCACTTCCTTCTGATAATTTAAGCTTCTTTTGGAAAATTTTTGCTACTTTTAGGCTGTTTTTATGCTAATTTCAGCTTTTTTTCAGATAACATCAACATTTTAGTGCTCATTTCTGCTTCTTTCAGCCTAATTGGGTAAACGAGTTCTTTCAGCTTTCTTCTGCTAATTTAAGCTTGTTCTACCTTTTTAGCATTTTCCAGCTAATTTCAGCTGTTTTCAGATAAATTCAAGTTATTTTTGATAATTGCTGCTACTTTCAACGTTAACTTCTTTCTGTTAATTTCAGCTCCTTTCAGCTTTTTCTGCTATTTCAGCTGCTTTTTAGCTGTTCTGTGCTAAATTTAGCTTTTTCAACTAATTCCATTTGTTTTTTTAGCTCATTTCAGCTCCGTCCACTTTCTCCTAGTAGTTTAAGCATTTTTCTGCCTTTTCAGCTACTTTTCAGCAATTTTTTTTGCTAATTTCACAATTTTCATGATAATTTCTGTTCATTTAAATCTAATTTAGCAAATATGTTCTTTCTGCTTTCTTTTACTAACTTTAAGCTTGTTCAATTTCAGCTACATTTCGGCATGTTTTTAGCTAATTTCAGCTGCTTTTCAGCAACTTCTTCAGCAATAAACATTCACACTGCATTTTCGCAGGAAATGCAATTTCCCTTGTTATTATCATTATTAACTTCACTAACCCTAACCTAACAAAATATTATAGAATAATGGCAAATAACCCAAGTGGCATAATTGAATGCAATGATAAATAGATGGCTTATGATCAAGATATGCTCCAGTGACAACACTTTTCACACAAAAATCAATGAACTGTATTTTTCCAGTTTATTATAATTTTATAGGTAATTATCTCAAACATCTTCGTGATGGGCTTTATGTTTCTCATATGTTTGCATATTCTCAGACTCAATAGTGAAGCAGATAAATTAAAAGGTTTAACTCTAATTATCTACATCAATCCCAATGGTTATGATGAACATAACTACAGATTGTGTCTGCAAGAACCACATTTTGGTCCCCCTGATTCCTTCGCTAAATGTGATTAAAGTGCCCTAATTTTGCATCTAAAGAATCGAACCAATTATTAGAAACTTCATAAACAAAAAGAGAAGCGTTCACTAAACCCCAGGATTAAGAATAATCCTATTTACTACAACCCTAATGAGATGTGTGAAAGCCAGGAGCGAACAAGCACGTTACGTAACCCGTCATCAGGATCATGATCCCCCAGATCTCCTTACTCAAACTAGGCAGGACTCAAACTGCACATGCTCCATTTCAGCGACAGTGGCTCAGTTAACTTACCCCGAGGATGTACTGACAAGTTTGAGGCTCCAGCATGTAGATGGTGACAGCGTGTGGAGACTCAGACTCTTTACACCTGAGAAAAGAGAACGTTAGTGAATCAAAAAGGAAACGCGAGGTTATTATGTTAGTCACGTCGACATCATCGTGTTCACTCACTTGAGCTTCACGATGACCTGTCTGGGCTTTCCTGTCAGATCACACACATCCCCGTGACCATAGAAATGGGAAACCCACCTATTAGAGTGCAACAAGGGGCACGGTGAGCTTAATTTGCAACCAGGTTGGTATGCATTTCAACTGAACGACTTACTTGACTTTCTGAACTCCGTCATCTTTGAGCTGGAGGGATCGGGCAGAGTTCTTCTTGGTCCAGTCAATGTGCTCCTCTGCATTCCAGTTCCCCACCACCACGATGTTCTTCCCTTGCTCTTTGTCCTGGAACACAGATGGATGTTTTATTCTAAAAACAAATATTCTAAGTGAAAATAAACTTACCACTTGTGCACAATGAGATATCTTACATTTTACTGAAAGTATAGTGCATTAGAGCCTCGTTTTCAAGGTTGAAAAATTAAACTGAGATTATGGATATATGATATTATCAGCATGGTATCGGTATCAGCCAATATTAGAGATACAGTTAAATATCAGACATCGGCCATTCCATCAAAATAACTCTTCCAAAGGTGCTGTTATATATATATATATATATATATATATATATTTATATATATATATATATATATATATATTTATATAGATGATAAGGTGCTGTTTTTGTATGACTGTTCCAGTGTTGTCGTTGTGTTAGAGAGAGTAAATGTCATGAATAAATTTAACATTAAACATAATCCAAGTTGAAGTGTTGCATCATTTTCAGCCCCTTTTTGGCATCTGCATGTGGTAACAGGCCAAATTGACAAAGACCATGCAGAATAATGTAGTATTTTAATTCCACAGCAGAGAAAGCTGTGTAGTCTCTGTAAGTAGGTCTAGAGAAAAAAAAAAAAAAAAAAATCAATATTGGTATTGGTCAAATAAGTTTTAATATATTGGCATATCAGATATCGGCCAAAAATCCAACATCGTGCATCTCTAACTGAGATGTTTATTAATTCTCAAGAGACAGGACTCTTTACCTCGTGGTACTGATGGACATGTTTCCCGTAACAGAATTCGTATTTCCACCATCCTACACCCTGAAACATAAACATGAAGAGCATTTTACATCATGAAACAGTTTTGGAAATGATGCTCGTGTGTTGAAAACAAACAGGCCTCACTCCGTGCAGACAATAAGAGCCACTGAGGAACTCTTTGATCAGCTGGTTGTCAGTCAAGCGTGAGATGTGAGTGGTGCCCACGGTGACCTGAACCTGCCCTCCGACACTCATGGGTTTGTTAGTGGAGGTGAAGGCTTCCTCTCTAACTGGCGACGTTTCCTCCTGATAAATTTCACAGATAAAAGTGAGCGATGTGTCACTTAGGGAAAATAAAAAATGGCAGCGATTTTTCTTCTTCGTCTCACCTCTCTGGTGTCGGTGCTGAAAGGCGGTTTAAGCTGCTCCTCTTGCTCCTTGTCCAACTGGGTGAGCCTCTGAGGCTGCAGAGGGGAGCCCTCCAGAGCCTGGCAGAAGATGGCGTTCACCGGAGACGACTTGAACCTGCAAGAAAATGTGGATATAATAAACTAGCATTCCTTGAAGGGATGCAGATCACCTGCCGAAGTTTTAAATGTTTCTTTTTGAATGATCTGCGGACAGTCAGCATGTACTGATGACGTCGTCCTGCTACCACCAGAGTGGATTTCAGCTCAGTATCTGTAAAATTAACAAAGTTAGAGCCAGTTTTGTGTTTGCTAAGGTCAATTAGCTGCGATGGCCATAGCATGTGTTATGGATGACTCTCAGCTACTACCACATCTAATTTGATCTCAATACTTATAAAACTGTTTGAAGTTTGAGGAACATTTGCGTTTGCTAAAATGGATTACTGTATTTTCAGGCGTATAAGTCATTTATTATGCGTCATCGCTGACCCGTCGTGTTTCTTACCAACCAACCATCCATCCATACCAACCAACCATCCATCCATTGCGGCCAAAGCCACAAGCTCTCCAATGTTCCTCCGCCTGCACCAGCTGAGTGAAGCGAGCACGCACGGGAGGACTCGCTGTTGCAGTTCTTCGAAATTTAAAGCGTCAGCCAAAAATTGCGTTATGAATATGGAAAAGAAAAACGTAAGTAAGTCGCTTCGGCATATAAGTGACAGGACTGACAAATCTATGCAAAAAAACTGTGACTTATACGCTGGAAAATACAGTAACTGTGGCAGCCATCTTGAATTGAGTTCACCAAGTCAACTAGTGGAAGATGTGTCGTATTTTTCGGGAATATAAGGCGCACCGGATTATAAGGTGCATTAAGTGAAACAAAACAGTCGGATAAGTCAAACTTTATTCAACTCATTCACGATAGCCACATCAAATTGTTTCGAGGTGAGTAAGCACAACCAGAATTAATACATAAAGCGTTGATTTATGAGAAAATTAAAGGATTTTAAGTGCACCAAATAGTCTGAAAAATATGGTATATCCAGTGATTAAGTTCTGAGCCTTTCAATAAAATCTCAGAGATATTTTCCAAACAGACAGAAAAGTGAACACCAAGTTAACTTTCATGTTCAGTGAATCACTTTAAATCATATTCACAACACTTCCGATGTATTTCTAAGCGTGTTCCTTTTCATGGATCTACCTGTACTTGGGGTGCGCGCAGAGCAGTGGTGTCAGCACCACGACCTCATATTCGCACGTGGTGACCTCCGCCACAGACAAGATCTCATGCTTGGCCTCCGGGTGACAGACGTACAGCACGGACGTGGAGCGCGGCTCGTTCTGCTTCAACACGCATGGGGTCCCGTTGCCCATCACCATTGAGTAGTACGGGGTCAGCTGGCCTTCAATGTTTTTCGTGGGCACCTAAAAACCAAACGAGAATAAAACTTCTTTAAAAAAAAAAAAAAAAAAAAAGCTTATAAATAGTCTTGTCAATTTCTGGTTGCTTACTTAAGCGTTTCAGTATCATACTTACTTCTGCTGGTGCTGCTTTGACTTTTTCTTTCTCTTCAGCTGGATCTGGAAAAACAACGATGCTGCTTTAAAATTCAAATTGTGCAAATAAAGTATCAGAGTGTCCCATATAAGCTTACCAGCATCTGCTGACAGGCTCATCTCTGCCCTATTTCCCAGGAAATACTCTTGAACATTAATTTTCTGCAGAAACATACATGAAAACCTTCAGCTCACACTGATCAGGCTTTTGTTCATGACATCTGGGTCTTATCACTCGACACACTGACCTGTCCAGTCTCCTTCTCTTCATGAAACTGCCTTACATGCTTCCCATGGCACACCTCGTATGTCCAGTATGACTCAATCTGCAGCATTTGCAAATGAAAAGTTCTTTTTTTTTTTTTTTTAAAGTGAGCTCAATCAGCTTTTCTCAAAAAGAAGGCAGACACAAGTTTTCAGTCTTGGTCTGCTACTGATGCATGAACAGTTCTAGTTTCAGGCCTCACCCTGTAGGAGCAGCTGCTGCGTTTGAACAGTGGATCCAGCAGTTCACCTGGACTGGGCCCGGTGTACCCTTTCTTATCCCCCTGAAACATTGAGACAAACGCAGGAAGAGTAAGGCATGAAACAAACGTTAATGAGCTCCAAAGCTATCACCGTATTATATTTAGGAATGAATTAGCAGAACAGTGTATTGGTCACTGGATGCATGTATTGCAACACAAACAAAGTGGTTCATCTGTTTGGCTTCTCACAATTTCTATATTATCAGATTTGTTCTGACTTTTAGAAACAGCACAGATTATTATTATTTTTTTTTGTCGTTACTGGACACCGTTTTAAAATGTGATTAAACCTTGAACCCCGTTGACAGGGATTCTCTTGTGTTTGTGAATCCAGCTCACTCACATGTCATTACACGTAAAAGTCAAACTCAACTTGAACCAACTAGTAGTTTAGAAGAGTTGTGTTGTTTGTGTCTTTATTAAAAGAATGCTGATTCTACATGCACAGCATTCATTATGAGCAAGTCAACCTTCTGGAACTGCGTTGACTTTCATGGATCTGAGGAATATTTCTGACATTACAGACAGAAAAATGCTACCGTGTTGGTTGAAATACTTTAGTTTGATTGTTTTGTAATTTTAATGGAGCTCTGTTAATGTTAATATTAATAGGGAGGCTGTTATTGCTCACCTCTTCTTCTGATGCCAGTGAAGGCAGCAAGCATTTGTACTTCTCCTTTTCTGTCGTTGTCATAATGACGAAGTCATCTTCTTTGTAAAGTGCACCTGAAGTTGGCTGGAAAGCAGAGACAAGCAGAAAAAAAAGATAAAACTCTTACAGTTTATAATAAAGTCGCCAACGACTCCACAGCCTTTATAACAGCCTGACAGGAGCAGTGTTACAGAGTAGGAACAGCGTTACTAAAACAAGAAACATACCAGTGTTAATTCAGCCCCTGGCCAGGTGATTTTAAAAAGAATTTCGTCTGTGAAGGAAGGAGAACCTCCTCTGTTTGCGGAGACGCCGCTGCAAACCTCCAGCAGCCCTCCGATAAACACCAGCAGCAGCCCGGCCATGAGCTCTCCTGTCCGGCTGCTCAGCTCCTGCAGCCCGCTCCTCGTTCTCGGTAAAAAAGCCTCTTCACCTCCCACTCACACCTGCAGCACAAACGACTCGAAATATACTTTAAAAGTCCGGTCTGACCCACGTAGGACATGCCCGTAAAAGGCGGATGTCAACACGTCGGTAGAAACAGGAAGTGAGCTGTCCGGTTGCCACGTCGTGTTAGAATTACGAGTTAGAATTTATTAGCGCCCCCTGGTGGCTATTTTGGTGCATTACATATATTTTTATTATTATAGTATTATAGTTATTGTTGTTATTAACATGGTTATTATCATTATTATTATTATATTTATTTATTTATTTATTTATTTATTTACTAAAACTACAACATATATGTTTTATTTTGAAATTAAATTAAAGCAGAACTTGATATTTTATTATCCTGCTGCATGCGCAATAATCCAGGAAGAAAAATCTAAAAAAGTTAAGTCTGGTCCTCTGGTCGGGTTCATATTTTATCATTTAAAACCCTAAAAAAAAAGATTAATTTTAAAGGAAATTCCGCAATATTTGTGCAGATTAGGGTTTGAATAGACTAGTCGATTCGAGGACATCTGGCAAGTTTTAAAATTTCACTTCGACTAGTCGCAGTCAGCGATTGTGTCATGTGAGCAGTGATGGGGTGCTGGCTACAAAACTGATTCTTCCATGCAGGGGAGGAGCAGGCCAAGTCTTTCCAAACAGGTAGAAATTAATCAATAGTGTGGAAGAATTTCACTAAAGATGACTCTTCCAGTTCAAACGCCCATGGTTGATTCCACTGCCGCTCGCCCTGTTTTTAGTTTTTACTTTATTTAATCCATGGTGGGATCCATGTTGAAAGCAAACAAAGCTATTATACATCATAAAAAGTGTATTAATAACTTGTTAAAACTTGTGAGAGTTATTAGATTGTGAAAAAAATTCAACATAATCTTTAATGACTGTTTCAAAGGAAACTTAATTTACAGACAACATAAAATCAAGTCTAAAAATTAAAGGTTTACTTTCATTTTGTTGCAAAGCTGACATTTGAAACACTCATCTCCTTTTTGTTTGCTTAAATGTTTTTAGGTGTTCCTGTTTGCCTCTCACTGGATGGTTTGGGAAATGCAAATGTATCCTTTGTTCTTTATCAAGAAGTAGGATATGTCACCATATATGTAGAGCTGGCTATGAAAAACTGAAAACAGTAAAGGAGATGAAGTTGCTGGAAATGTTTTTGGTTCATTTGTATTCAAGTAACACCTGGACTACTTAGTCCATATCTAATTATACTCTATTGATCCTGTAATAATCTGTGTAGTGTGTATATATAAGCAATATATGAGCTATCAGTTATAAAACAAATTAGAAACTGCTCTTAAAGAAACATGTGGCATTGCATATTAAAGGCAGGGGGGAACTGCAGACACTGCCTCAGTCCAGTTGAAAACATGATTTATCAAACACAGGAGGAACATTTTCTTTTCCACCTGCTGGTGGAGCTGTTGGTTTGAGGATGTGCAGCATGTGAGAACAGGAATGCTGTTACAAGAGAGGTTGTGAGACAAAGAGGTGGAGAACTGAGATGAGAGAGGGGTATATGGAGGTACAGGTGAGTACACACAGTATGACATCATCCACCCTCTGGAAAGGATTGGTTTATACTTTTACAGATAGATAGATAGATAGATAGATAGATAGATAGATAGATAGATAGA